ATATTTCCAGGTACGAATGGCAGCATGAAATAAACAAGACTAGATTTCAATAGCGGGTTCCAAAAAATGGTAGCTTACTAGCAACTTATATTATAATTCAACACCACCTACGTCTCATTCTTCATTTAAATTTCCCAAAAATGCACGCATAGTTCCTAGGAGCTAACCCTGCTCCCAGGAATAACGGAAGTCTAGATGCTTCTACTGCATTGCAATTTCCAATGACATATAATAAATACACGTACCGCCCTACTTATTCAGAGTCGCAGTTGTCAGGCCTAGCTACGACACTCGATAAACTGTTCACTATATGTTCATTCTTACGCCGCTTCCAGCGAACGACGTGGCGTATTCCGCATATCCAACAAGCTTTATCATTAAACAAACAAGATGAAGCTCCTTTCTCTTCCCCTAGAGCTACTTTTCTGTCTAGCAGACTTTTTAGATTTCTCACCGGATTTGCTTTCAATGGCAAAATTGAATAAACGATCAAGTCTTCTATTCCTACCGCTTCTCTACGCCTTCAATGTCCGCTGCCAGGATAGCTCTGCTCTGATCTGGGCCATCCAGCACAACAAATCGAAACTCGCGAAAACCCTACTCGAAGAGTATCGAGCAAACCCAAACACGACGGATGATAGATTTCGGACACCGCTGTTTTATATTCGAGGTATTCGAACAGAAAGGTATCAAATGATTCGTTCTTTGATCAAGAGCGGGGCAGATCTCAATTGGAGAGATGATCATCAGCAAACGCCATTACTGTACTCCCTCCAAAGGAAGTTCTTGCCTGTAGTCAGAGATCTTTTGGGGTGCTCTGGTACAGACGTGACTGCTCGGGATAGCAAGGGCCGCAATGCGATCTGGTATGCTACCGCCCATCAGGATAAGGATTTAGTTCGGGCCTTCCTGGAAAGTGGGGTTGACACTTTTACAGCCGACTGCAAAGGAATCGACCCCATTAACCTAGCTATCTTGAATCAGAACAGTACCATTCTTACCATACTGCTTGACCACGTCAAAACGAAGCCTTCAGCGGCAACCCTGGATGGCCCAAGCAGCCGTGAGCATCCGCTATTTATTGCCACGCGCAAAGGGTCAAAGGAAATGGTCCAAATGTTGATTTCCTACGGAGCAAATCTCAACATCAGGAACCGAAAGGGTCAGAGTTTGCTTCATCAAGCAGCCATAAAAGGACACAGTGATATTTTGCAAACTTTTCTCGATTACAACATGATACCTATTAATGCTACCGATACAAGGGGAGCAACAGCGCTTCATTTAGCCGCAAAGCATGGGCACAAATCGATCGTGAAGATTTTATTAGCTTTTCCCAACATCGAAATCAATTCCCGTGACGCGGACGAAGTCACACCTCTCTGTATTGCTATTCGTGAGGATCAACAGTCTGCGGCCATGCAAATTTTATCCGAGGAGTCAGCTGAGATCAACGCGACCTGCCGACACGGGCAAACGGCCCTTCATTATGCCGTACAAAATGGCAATATTCTGCTCGTGTGTGTTCTCCTCGAAATTGAGAGCCTAGATCCGAATATTCGGGACGGATGCGGCTGGACTCCCATCACCTATGCTGCATTAAGTGGCAGTCTACGATTGCTGGAGGTACTTCTCACGAGACAAGATATTGCGCTGAATGTTCGAAATGCCTCGCCGATTTTCTATGCCTGTGAGAAGGGCCATATGGAGATCGTACGTCGGCTTCTTGACCACAATGATGTCGATTTCGACAAATCGGTCTGGAACAAATCTCCTCTTTTCATCGCAATCGAAAATGGTCATACTGAGATCGCGAAGTTGTTGATTGGCCGGTGTGGTGGTATCGATGTCAACTTGCCTACATTGCTTGGAAGCACTGCATTGTCAGTGGCAGCGTCAAGCGGGAATCTAGAAATCGTGGAAATTCTGCTCCAAGATGAAAGGCTGAACTGCAAGGCCGAAAACAGTTTTGGAGAAACAGCGCTTCAACTGGCAGCACAAGAAGGAAATGAAGCAATCGTGCGAGCTCTTTGCCGTGATGTACGTGCCAGAGACCTTCCAAGCTTGAAGAAAGCGATCAGGTACTCTTCAAACATCAGATTGACATACTTTCTTCAAGAAATGGAAGAAATTTGGGTCCGAGAAAGCAGCACATGAAAAGAGCTGCTGTGTTACCGTTGATTTTCATATTTTAGTAGTGAGTGTAATGCGTTTGAGCATGACATCCCATATCAGGCTCAAATAATATTCAGAGGGCTGCCGCTTTAGTTTTTGTGATTCTATCAATTGAAAGCTACTTTCAATTCTCATGCCCGTAGAAAAGCCTTTGTAATTGACGGTAGATTCTGGTAGGTTTGTTGGAGTTTATCTCGATGCGATTGACTCTATTACGTCGCATAATGCAAGTGAACGGACCTATTTAGCCTCATATACGTATTTAATGCCATATTTTCGTAGAAATCGCTTGACTAGAACACATTCCGTCATTTAGGTCTGGATCTACTCAGATTTCGCCTAGGCTGAAGTCGAGATGGGGTGACCCCAGCCCGATGAGAAAAAAAATGTGGACGATAGAAATCAAAATATAAGGGACAGAGATTTGCGGCTTCGAGACTTGAGGATCTGAAACCTGGCCAACGATCCAAGCGCCCCCTGAGTAGGCCCTGAATCCGCTTGGGATATATGAGTTATACATGATGCTTTCATATTGATTAAATATTATAATACTTACTGATATGGTTGTTATCGATCTTAGTATGAGGGACAGAAATGAGTTTACAATAACAGAGATATAGCCATACAATTGCTCCCAGTTTACGTGATCTTCCCTTTAACTGAGATGCAAAAACTAACCAAATCCACCAAATCCACCAAATTGCAGTGGCATACCGGACTGTAGTATTGAATCGATCTTCGCCGTCAGAATCCACATTCAAGAAGGGTCTAGATCAATCATGGCTTTACTATTTCTGGAATGTCAATTTTATCGCGAACGCAAGGTTATCATACATCATTCAAGGGCAAATTTGGGTAATCCCACTGGTTTGTAAGTTCACCTATGTATTATGATACTGCAAATGCAGCTTCATAAAAAGCTTGACACCGAGCGAAGCATTTTCAGCTTTTCTCTAGCGACTGAGAAATAAGGCCAGCTTGAAGTTCATGTCAAAGGCCTTCAATCACAAAGTCACAGTCCAGACGACTTTTTCCTGGATAGTTTTGTACTCCAATGCACCTTGATAGACTGCGGACTCCTCCCAGGGTACTTTTCATCAAAATGCCGAATTACTTCTTCCCATGGGAGGCCTTGCTCTTTTTTGAGTTTTACTAATAGGCAATCTTCCTCCGCAGAGTAACGCAGGCGTTTTCGCGATGAGCATGAGTTAGCTGAGGCATTTTGAGTCCGGGATGAAGTCACCTTGTCACTTGGCATGGATCGTGAATTCGTGTTGACTTTCTCTGGGCGAGGCACACAGCGAGACAATGCACTCTCAAACAGCCAAGACAAGAATTGTAGTCGATCCTCCGCTTTAAGTGCGGAAAATTGCGCAAGAATTGTGGACAATGAAGCTTCCTGATGACCGGGGCGTTGAGTCGATTTTCCGTGCTTTTCTTTTGGACGATTGCTGATGACGACCGAGACTTTCTGAATTTTGGAAGACCGCCGTCCAGGATCGGTCACCTTCGGCAAGTGACACCGTCTGCCACGAGAACTGCCATTACCTGTATGCGAGGAATGATTGTCTGCGGTGAAGCCTGCCTGGCGGATTGTGCAAGTAGGTGCAGATTCTATGGTGTTCTGATGTTCTCCAGCTCGGTAATGTTGGTCCTCCAACATCGCCGGATCTATGGTCAAATCACTTGCGGAATCTTCCATCTCTGATGGGGTTGACTTTTGGAATGCCATAGACCGAGAAAGCTGATCGGGCGTGAAGAAAGGGTCGAATTCACATGATCCAATGCGGGCTTGCTGTTCGACATGCTCATCGACGGAATCAAAAATTAGACCATCCATGTCTTCGGGGCCTGGTAGATTCTCTAAATGCAAAATTTCCTCAAATTCGAAGTTTTCCGATTCTTGATTGACAGGCGATATCTGGCTACTCAAATCCGGCTTCTGGTGATTCTGGTCGACAGATTGTGAAGCCCCATTGACGCAAGCCTCAAGGGGTGGGCGGACCGGAAGGGGATGTCGCTCAGGCTGCGGGGTGCAAGGGATCCGGGAATGGAGTGTCGAGTCCTTTGGATTGTTTGGAGATGGCGTGACGTTGAGAGAGACAGGACTTGGGTAGCGAGGAACATCCAGAGGGCCTTGCCGAGAGAATACCTTCTCATTGGGATTCCAAGGCCGGAAAGATTCCAAACGAAACAATTCATTAGACATTTTCAGTCAGGCACAAAAGAGCATTCAAAGTGGGTGGCTCAAAGGATATCTCAAACGGAAAAAGAGCGGGAGCAAAGGAAAGCAAACTGCACTGAGGTTTTGGAATGGGGACTGAGGGTGGGAAAGGATATTCTGGCGTAGGGGGAGGGGGGGGATGGGGATTTGGGCAGAAGGGTTTGGGCTTCCTGGAGTGCCAAAGTGGTGGTGCTGCGCTCCTTTTATACACCAGCTCAAGAGGTCATTGTCTTGATAAATTTGATCCACCAAATGTCGTAGGCCAGCTCACATACCACTCAGAAGCATGAGCATTGCAGCCAGATGTCCGCTATGTCCGCCCCCGTTTCCCAAAACATGCTTTTGTCGTAGCCTTGCCTGGATCAAGGCAACCGCCCCGCCCTTCAACCCTGAAATTCACCACTGGATACAAATGCGGCAATTTTTTGCCATCATTTCATGTGAAGACGGCCAGCAAGATGAAATGATTGGCGGCGCACATTAGCCGGACGACGGGCCGCGGAAATTGTAGGCCCACCGGGTCTCACGGCATTCACGAAAGACAGTGGGGAGAGGCAGTGCAATGCAACCTCAAGGTGGCGAGAGCGGTGCAGTGTCCAGCGGCATGTCCGACAAGATTCCGAATCCATTGTACACCGATGAGGCGAGGATATCGCGACATCGACGCCTGCAGCCCGAAGGGCGAGACAGCAGTCTAGAGATGAAGCTCTGTTCGAAGCCAAGGCTTCATAGTAGTCTCAAGGGAGAGCGAAGCAGAAAGCTACCGATAGCAGAGATCGTGAAGCGTGAATTTGAACCATGGCGAAAGCTGGCCGAAACAAGCTGGATTCCCGGTTAGGCGATATCTCCGATCAAATAAAAAGATCAGGCAACCGGACCCAACGCGTTTGACACTAGTGGGGCGCGAAGGAAGGGGATTCAGTCATGTTGGGAGGGCAGGAAGAGGTGAAGGTGCGTGGGAGAAGTGCAGATGAGGACGAGCGGTCTTTTATAGATGGTAGGGTCGGCAAAAGCGGCGACTGCAGCGCTAAGCCGGATGGGACGACCACAGCGGACGCGATACTGGAAAGGGCAGGGCCCCTACGGGTACAGGAAGGCGGTCACGGGCGGCAGGGCGGAGGAGCGAATGGCGGCCGTTTCTGGCCCCCCCGCTCACCGTGTCAAACAATACTAGATTAAGAGCTATTTATAATTATTTATTTCTTTAAATATTAGTATTAATATCTTAAAGAAAGCTAGTACTAAGTTAAAGTTCTAACTAATTATTATAATCTAAGACTCTTTATAAACTAACTAAAGATTAATAGAAGATAGATATATTAGTATCTCTTTCTTACCCCTTTTAATATTATAATATATTACTACTTAGATAAGATAAATCCTATAGATAGATTATCTTATACTTTAGAAGAAGAGAAAGCTCTGTCTACAGAAGAAATATTAGGGCTAATTTATAAGAGAATTATAGCCGAATTATTTATAAAAGTATAGTAGTTTATTATTAGTATAAAACTGTTTAGAGAGAAAAGCAGAGAAGAGTAGAGATTAATAAGTATAACTATATTAGTCTGTAGGAAGTCTATTACTATCTTTCTCTCTAACTATAAGTAGCTTATCTAGTACTCTAGAGTTAGAACTAAACTAGGTTTAGAATAATACTACTATCCCTATAGATTAGAAAGATCTAGGAAAGACTATAGATAAGTTTAGTAAAGCTAATTATTTAGATCTAGAGAATAATTAAGAAGTTTTCCTAAGTTAGGGTTATAATATAACTAAGTTTCTCCTAAGTTAGGGCTATAATATAATATATTATAAGGTTTTAAGTTACTCTTAATTTATATTCTCTTAAATAGTATTTACTATAGCTATAAATAAAGATCTACTTACAGATAAATCTCTAAGAGAACTAAAAAGATTAATTAAGGAACTCTAAGTATAAAGGGCTATAGCAACAACTGTTTAATTAGGGCTAGGCCTGTATGCTGTTTATAATAATCTTAAAGAAGAGTATCTATATAAGTCTCTACCTAGTTTTCCTGCAGGAAAAGGTTATATAATATAACGTAATATCTCTACAGACCTAGGCCTGTTATAGTACCCCCCCTTCTTATCTTATCTTTCGGCTAAAAGCTGTAGTATTAGTATTACTATATTCTTTTTAGCAGTAACTTATAGTCAGGATGCTCTTGTAATACAGCCGAACTACCTCTTGTACGTATCTATTGCTATATAATTCTTTATCTTATCTACTAGTTCCTATATAGTCTCTGTATACCCTATCTATTTTATTAAAACCTCGGTTTGTTTACCTCTGCTAATATACCTTTCCTTATGGTTAAGTATCTCTTTAACTTTATATTCTACCTTATTGTTAATTTCTATAGGAGACGGCTATATATTGTTAATAACTTAAGAGAGAAACGGATCTGTAGCTGCTAGCTGTACTAACTTAATATTAAATACTAGATATATACTAGTTAGTATATTTAGTTATACTATATATAGTATAGGTACCTTTACTATCTTATACTATATATATATCTAATCAAACTTTTTAGAGGGCTGTTAGAAGTAAATATTATATAGATTTAGCTAAACCTTATTACTAATATAGTATATAGGGGCAGTACGCCGAGAATAGTTTACCTATTCCTATTATATTTCTTAGACAACTATAATTACTAACTGTATCTAATCAGTAGCTTCTTATAGTTATTTTACAAACGATTTATCTGCAGTAGTAGGTAGGGTTATTTTATCTATTTATATTGTATTATTATCGTTTATACTAAGGGGATCAATATAATATCTATAGGTAAAGAAGAAGAGGGATAGTTCTGTTAATAAGGTATTCTAGTTATTAATTACTACTGTAACTATTAGTAATAGTCCCTTCTAGTTATCCTGTACGTAGGTAATAAAGATTCTTATAATCCTTTCTACTTTCTAGTTTGCTTATTCTGTTACCCTGTCTGATTATAGGTAGAAGACGGTCGATAATTAGTATTAAATTACTAGTTTTTTATATACTATTCGCTAGAATCTGCTTATAAACTATAGCCCTTAATTACTAGTAATTACTTTTAGCAAACTATAATATATATAGAAGTATATTAGAAATACTTCTGCTATCTCTTATAACGTAATTCCTTTTATACTAATTAATATTATATCCTTAGTAAGTCGATTAGTAATAACCAGTAGGTTTATAGAACTATCTTCCTTTACTAGAGATAGCTCTATAATAAAATCTATAGATAATTTAGCCTAAATTTATTATAGGATTAGGAGTAGTTTTAGTAGTCTATACTTTGTATCTTACCAGACTATAGTCCTTCTATAAATAGTACAGTTCTATAGGAATTATTGTATATTCTTTGCTACTCTAGGCCAGAAGAATCTCTAAGATAGTATTATATATATAGTATCTTATCCTAGGTATCTAGTAATATAGGAGTTATATACTTTCTAGATAATACTGGTTTATAACTATTTGCTCTTAGGAATCTATAATCATTATCTAAAATATAATAACCCTTGTTTGTCTAGATAGCACTCAGAGAGACTAGTTTTTATACTTATTTTAATCCTAATACTATATTTACTGTTCTTTACTGCTATTAAATAGGCTTAGTAGACACTATTAGCTAGCCTTACTTTTTCCTATCTATTCTATAGTTCTTAATTATTAAAAAGTAGTACTAGGATAGTAAATTTAAGATCTATCTTATTAACCTTATAGGTATAATTATATTAAATCGATACCTTTTCAAATAAGGTATAAAATTAATTCGATAGTCTTTTATCTGTAATATCCTAAGATAAGTCCTATCCTCTTCTAGATAATATATCCGGTAATACTATAAGCTTACCTAGTTAGTAGTAGAGAGTAAAATCAAATTCTGCTATTAGTTCTACCTATTATATCTACTATTTGCTAAGATACTATACTTTGTTAAAGTATTGTAGGTTCTTATAGTCTATTATAATAATAAATTAAGGGACTATCTTTAGTTCTAGATACTATTTATACAGTACCTAAATAATAGTAAGTAACTCCTTATTATATATCTTATAATTTACTTTAGCTAGTAATAATCTTTATAATATATAGGTACAGAAGGCTAGTCTTCTGTCTTTTTATTATTATAAGAGTACTATACCTATAGCCTATCTGGATATATTAGTCTTAATAACAGTTTCTCTTTTCTCTTTAAAATATACCAGTATTAGGGTATTAATAAACAGGCCCTTTAGTTTATTAAATACTTCTTAGCAGTCTTAATCCTATTAGAATAGTATATCCTTCTTTATTAATCTTATTAACAGTAATAACAGAACAGCGAATTAGGGTATAAATAAGTAATAGAAGTTAGTAAATTCTAAGAAGCCCTAAACGTTATAAACTGTCCTTAGTACTTCCTATATACGTATTGCTTCTACCTTCTTAGGGTTAACGTATACCCCTCTACCGGTATATACAATAAAGCTAAGATATTTAACTAAATCTTACTTAAATTCTAACTTACTAATATTATATTATAACTCTATATTCTTAAGTTTCTAAAGTACTTTATAAACCTTCTATTAGTAATCTTTAATAGAACTATCTAAGTAGATAATAATATTATCAATATAGACAGATACAAAGTTATCTAGATACTCCTACAGAGTCTGATTAATAAACCTTTAAAATATAGCTAGTACGTCTATTAGGCTAAAGAATATTATATTTTATTTAAAAAGACTATATCTCGTACAGAAGGCTGTTTTCTATTCTTTACCTAGTGCTACTTATACCTTATAAAATACTGCTATAATATTAAGCTTTATAAACTATCTTATCTTTAATATATTCTATAGCGTCTCTTAAATTAACAATAACAGATACCGGTCCTTAATACTTAATTTATTTAATCTGCAGTAGTTAATATAAAACCGGATATCTCTGTCTGGTTTTTATACTAATAATACTAGTACAGTAGTAGGTAATTTACTTACTTAAATAAAGTTCTTATCTAATAGTTTAGTTAACGTCTTCCTAAGGTATAAAAGTTCTTCTTTATTTATACTATAGAGAGGACTATAGAGAGATAGTTCTTTAATACTGTTTTAGTCTTATTTTAACAGTATCTTATAGTTAATTTTTAGTCGATATAGTAGTAGTATATTCGCTAGTTACTTACTAAAAACATTAAGCTACTTCTAATACTGGCAGAGAAGTCTCTCTTTAATAGGGACCTTATCTTTCGGCTAAAAGATAGCCTTATTAATATCCTTTAGTATAACCTTCCTAATTTACAGCCTATCTAGTATTATTACTCTATTAAACAGACATTAAATACTCTTTACTAACAGTTGTTTTACTTCTAGTGTCTTCTTCCCTGTAGGTCCGATAGAGTAATCCTTTTAATTCTAGTATTATATCCTTCTATAAGACTTTATATAGATATCTATATACCCTTTCCTAGGAGAATATATTCTGTCTATATCCTTAACCTATAGTAGGCCAAAGATTATATTATCTATCTAATCCTTAATAATATACGTAAAGATAATACCTTGTTAGTATCTATAGATATCTATATTAAAGTAGGTAACGTAGGTAATCTGTTCTTAATTTACTACTATACTATCTAGTGTAATGGGGATTCCCGCTCTCAACATCGGTATCCTGTAGTCATGTGCTGGAGGCCTTAGCAACAAGGCCACCGTTTTGTTTCGTGAGATTAAGTAGCGTTCGTTCGATACTATCAAAAACAACATGCATGTTCCCCTTTATGAAAATGTTCTACTGAGGCTGCTGAGGTTGCGGTATCGATATACTGCGTATGAAAGGTTCTGTTATTGCTCGTTCAATCATCTCTCTATAGCGTCACGCTTTGCTCATCTCGTTCCTGCACTCTGCGAGTGTGGTGGTTTTGTCTCTTCGCGATCGACCCGTCTGCTTGACAGACTGCCAGCGAGCATTCCCATCTTACATATGGCGTCCCGGGAAGGCTCGATTAACAAAAGGGTGGCTGAAAGCAAGAGCAATATCATTGTGAGAAGTGGGTACTGCGTTTGACCCTGAGAGAATACGACGGTATTCGAATATATCACAAAGGGTGAAGAGCGGCTTGATCCTAGGTAGGATCAGCCTATCAAATGTTCGAAATGTCAGCCGAAAGGCCTATCGAAATGCCGCTATCTGCGGAATATGTGCAGTTTTTACGATCAACGCTCGCTGATTGGCACACGGGAGATGCCATAACACTGGAAGGCATTTTACGAATGACACCGGGTCAATTGCATAAGATAGCGATTCAGAGATGTCCTGGCATTGGCTATGTCTGGCATTCAGCGCTGTCTAATATTCTGTTGTCATTTGCGCTACGTTATTTATTGGAAAAAGGATCACTGTCGGAACGGAATCAATCGCCAACGGCTGCGTCGTTATTATTATTACCATTGAGTACAGAGTCCCCTGTTCCCCGTTCTGTATCCCCTTCTTTGTCTACATCTTCATCTACTTCTGTTTCTACTTCGGAATCGTTTTGTCAGGCTGATTCATTCTCTGATACTACATCTGTTTGTTCTTCTTGTTCCTCGGCACCTCGTTTTCCTGCAGGAAAACGATCTCCCGAAACCATGGCTATCAATGACGGTGGAAATGACAGTGAACTTCCTGGCGATATGGCTGCACCCATTACCGCCGCGGAACAATTCACTCAGTTTCGCGAACCGCTTCCTGAAGCTTCTGGATCGACTATTGGTGAACCCTCTCGTCCTGCTAGTCCTGTAATTCAGGAAGCTACTGCAAGACCACCTCCGCCCCCTCCGCCGACAATACCTTCGCGGGATCCTGTACCACCAACTCATTACTATGCTGTTCCGCCGCCTCGACCAATATATCAAATGATATACAGCGCGATGCCAGCCCCAGGATCCCAGGGGGCCCCTGCTTTCAATGAAACCAATGCATCTGATTTCCTGAGAAAGCTAGAGGATACCTGTCGTTGCAGTGGTATTGTCCGTCATAAGGAAATTATAGATCTCCTCCCCCAATACTGCGAAAGACCGCCGCGTGTCTGGGTTGAAGGTCATTATGCCTGGAAAACGAGGAATTGGCGCATGTTTCGTGAGGCCTTCTTGGACAATTACCATGACTGGGATGATGAGCAGTTGAGGTATACCAAGGAATATCTCGACCAGCTTGTTGCCATTGAACGTTCGACAAATGATGAGATTCGTCATTATCTGAGCGAGTTTCATGAAGTATCCACGGAAATATCGTTGCTAGGTCTTCTGAGTGATATTGACCGAGCAAGCACGCTTATCAAGGGTCTTCCAATAAAATGGCAGAAAAGGATTCATAAGCGACATGCAGAGAGGTCTCGTTCTCGCCGTGATCAGATCTCCTACCAGACGGCCTATGAACAGGTGCAAGCAACCCTGCGCGTTGAGGCTGAAGTTCAGCGAAAGACCGAGATAAAAGAACCTGCAAGGAAATCGTCTCCTTCTCCCCATGTATCTTCGTCACTGCAGCAGCAGTCTGTTTCTTCTGTTCCTCTCGTACCTGCTATCCCGGTTGTTCTACCCAAGGATCGACAAGCTGATGACTCTACCTCGCGAGCAATTGACGATGTAGCCCGGAAACTGGAAGCTCTTGCGCTGAAACTGGATGCTAGGTCTGATCGCCGGAATAACCCTTTTTATGAACAAAACCGAGGTATACCGTCGAATGGCATGGGGGTCGGTCCTCCTAGGGAATGCTGGACATGTGGAGGTCCACACAACAGCACCCCCGATCAATGTGATTCTATCCGGGACTTCGAGGCAAAGGGAATGATCCACCGGAATGAGATAACTGGTCGAACGACTCTAGGAACCAAGGTAAATCCGGGCCCGGAACTGAGACTGCGAATAGGGGTTCTGAGGAAAGACTTGATTCCTGAACAATATGCTGCATGGGCAAACCAAAACCTACAGCAATCTGCAAGCAATCATGTCCAATCGATACCCTCTGCTCCAGTACAGTTCCTAGGCGCGTCTCTCAATGGTATCTCTGGTCATGACTATTATTCTGCTCCGGTTCGATATGTTGCTGCGTCCCTTCTTGGATCTGAGCCTGCATGGGAAAAACTGTCAGAGGATGAGGAAGAATATGGAGAGGAATATTGGACAGGTCCAGTTAATGCTATCGGAGGACAGGTCCAGGATGGTCGTGTGAGAAAGGGAAAACAGCGCGCGTCTGAATACGCGCGTACCAGGAATGCTCAGCAAGGCCGTTTTCAACCGCGTATTGAGGAGGCTAATGAGGATGAACCAATGCTTGTACCAGATGACACCCAGGGAACTTCTCAGGAACAAACGCTGCAAGGTTTTCCGGCAGGAAACCTATCTCCGAATGATATTCCGCGTCGGGTCAGAGGACCGCAGGATCCTGCTGTGGCTGAGAAAAGGTCCATGATTACCGACCTGATACTGCGGAAGGTTTGGGAAACTAGCGTTACGATCTCTATTAGTGAACTCCTTGGCGCTGCTCCTCGTATTCGAGCTGGTGTCGGAAAAGATATCAGCACAGATGCTATAAGTCAGAAGCTTACCGAGGTCATCAACCAAGTGCCCATTAATGCTACTGCTGCAGATCTATCTCAATGCGTCGATGCCCAGGTTCAGGAATTGCAGAAGAGAGCTCGTTCCCATTTTATGTCGTCAGGTCCTAATTATGATGCTTCAGTTCCTCCGGTTGTTAGTTCTTCAGTCAATTTCCAAACTGCGCAGGTTATCGAGGCCCCTATAAAGTCACACCAGGAATATACGCGAGGGTTTATGTATGCAACGGCGGTTGTCGGCGACCAGATTATCAAGGCATTGATCGATACAGGAAGTGCGGTCAACATTATCCATCGAAAGGTGGTTAAGCGTATGAGCGCGTTGCCCGAGATGAGACTCAAGCCTCATCTTCAGCTCACCCCAGTGGACGGAGGTCGTGGAATCAGTGTTGCAGCATGTCTTGAACACTTGCCTATCACCATTAGCGGCGTTACGGTCAATTCCCATACTATGGTGACGGATAATACCACGAATGAGTTGCTTCTTGGCAGATTGTGGGCAAGCAACGCAGGGTTGCGGACTGAGGAAATGACAGATGGCCGAGTCATGTGCACCATTTTTAATGAAGGCCGTAAGCGATACACTTCATTCATTGCTTATCGTCCCAGTGATGGCGGATCTATCTTCGAGAATCAACTGTGGCCCCAGGACTCCGCTTCTTTAAACGACGAGCAGGGTATGTAGGCGTGTTGTCATCCCCTGTTCCGGTGTTGTTTACTGAGGTCTCAATCCTCTGCCCTGAATCACCGCCTTCCGAATCGATTATATCTCTTTCTTCTTCCTCTTGCTGTCAGCTGCGTTCTCAGAAAACAAAAATTCTACAGCCAAAAACAGTCGAAAACGACAAAACCATACAAAAATATATTAATCATATTGAGTTCTTCGCGGCACCGCCAGTCAGGGGTTTTCCTGCAGGAAAACCATCTCCCAGTTACGCGCGGTAATTACATGCCGTTCAAGACCAACTGGTCGCCCAGGAATATCGTACTGGGTTCTCTCTCGAGAGCATGACCGACACTCGACCGTTATGGAAGAGTCGTCCTGAATATCCGTCTTACTATCGAGCACCGGTTAATACGCTCTATAAAAGGAAGGCTGACAAAGTTCGTCCGGTAAATTCATCGGAATCAGATGGGACGATCCCCGTCGGCCACCCTGATTGGCAGCACGAATGCCTCAAAAAGTACCATACTCAGTATCGCGCACCTGACATTCGAACTGAATTCGACCATTTGCTCAAGCCTCGTATTTCCGTGATTGCGAGAGGTGCTCGTCTTACCCCAGAACGAGAGATAACACTGCTAGTAGGAAAGGATCTACTGCCACGTGAGAGAGCACTTTTTCGAGAACTTCTTTTCAAAAGAGAGGGAGTGCTAGCCTGGGAATGGGAACATGTTCAGAGGATACACAACGAAGTAATGCCTCCGCAACGCATTAAAACCGTCTCCCATGAAGCGTGGCAGCACCCCGGTTTTAAGATCCCCTATGCACTGAACGCTATAGTCATCGAAATGCTGCGTGATCGGCTACGCAAGGGCGTGCTCGAACCCTGTGATGGACCGTATCGGAACCCGTGGTTCCTTGTCGGCAAGAAGCAAACTGGCAAATATCGAATGGTCAACGCAGCAATGATGATCAACAAAGTGACAAAAAGAGATGCCAACATGCCTCCAATAGCAGATGAGTTTGCCGAAGAGTTTGCAGGAATGGCGATGGCTTCGTTAGTCGACCTCTTCTCCGGATATGATCAAATCGAACTGCATAAGGATGATCGGGATCTAACGGCTATTCAAACTCCCCTCGGTCTGCTTCGCCAGACCACCATTCTCCAAGGTGCATCGAATTCAGTCGCCCAGTTTCAACGAGTGATCTCGGTCATTCTGCATAGTATTTTCGGCACAAAGGCGCGTTTATTTCTTGACGATGTTGCCGTTAAGGGTCCGCGAACAACATACAATGACGAGTTTGTAGAAGAAGGGATTCGCCGATATGTCCTAGAGCACGTTCAGAATCTCGATGAAGCGCTATATCTTTTGGAATTAGCCGGAGCGGTCATCTCAGCCGAAAAGTCCCAGTTTATGATGAAAGGAATTGAAGTTGTCGGCTGGGTGTGTGACATTAATGGCCGACGACCCGACGAAGCGAAGGTTGCAAAGGTTACACAGTGGCCTACGCCTCGGTCGAAGGATGAACTGCGTTCATTTGTCGGCCTTGCTGTCTACTTTCGTATCCTGATTGAGAAATTCCAGGTCATCATGAAGCCTCTCTATGAGATACTGCGAAAGAATGCCCATTTTATGTGGAACGAAGTCCACCAGGTGGCGTTTACCGAGATAAAGTCACGCCTTTCAGAGTTCCCCTCAGTCCTGCCTATAGATTACGACTTTAATCCGTTTCTCATGATCGTTGCTGCAGATGCTTCTATAAAAGGATGGGGTGGCGTGCTCATGCAGGCTCGGAACGGTGTCCGCAATCCTGCACGATACGAGTCAGGGGTTTGGTTACAGGCTGAATCGAAATATGACGCAGGAAAGCTAGAATGCCGTGCTGTTTTGATGGCTTTTAAGAAATTTCGCCATTGGCTATATGGGGTATACTTCGTCTTGGAGACTGATGCTAATACCTTGGTGGCTCAATTGAATCGCACTGCAACCGACCTCCCTGGTGCTCTTGTTACCCGCTGGATTGCATGGATTCAGCTTTTTGATTTTGATGTCAAGCACGTTCCTGGCACTGGCAATGGCGCTGCAGATGCCCTATCCCGCCGTCCACCAACTGAGGAAGATCTACATGAGAGAGACCAAGAACAGGATATTGATGACCTTGTTGATACGGAGGTCCTATATCTCCGAGCCAGTTGTTGTCCTGTCTCTGCTAATGTTGAAATTCCCGGTGATCCTGTTATCGATGTGCTGCATGAAGGATACTCTTCTGAATCGGAGCAAATTGCAAGATACCTGACAACCCTCCGAAGACCTGGCCGTATGAGCCTGTCTGAATTCTATTCGTTCAAAAGAAAATGCATGAAGTTCGTCGTTCAAGAGCGTCATTTGTTCCGACGTGTCAAAGGTAATGCCGAATTGCTCCGCAGGGTTCTAGACAAAAAAGAAGACCAACAAGCTGCGTTGAAAAGCACCCATGATGATCTTGGCCATAAAGGACGAGAAGCTACGTATGCCTTGATCAAACATCGCTACTGGTGGTCTCGCGCGTACGAAGATGTGTCAAAATATGTTAAGACATGCTCATTATGCCAGGCCAGAGCTCCGAATCGTCTGCATGAACCTGCTATTGTTACGCAACCGCTGTTGCTTTTCGATAAATGGTATATTGACACAACTCGAATGCCTCCAGAAGACGGTGAACGTGTCGTTATTCAAGCGAGAGACTCTGTCAGCGGATGGCCAGAGGCGAGAGTATTGCATTCTGCGAAAACAGAGAGCGTCGTCCAATTCATCAAGGAAGATATCATCAGTCGTTATGGGATTCCTCGGGAAATAGTAATTGACATGGGACCTGAAAACCGTGGAGGATTAACAGCCTTCTTGGAACGCGAGCAAATATCAAGAGTTAAGATCTCCGCGTACCATCCCGGTTCTAATGGCCCTGTGGAACGTGCGATGCGAACTATGAAAGATGCTCTCTCAAAGATGACAGAAGGCTACCCTATAGACAACGTTACTCGGCAAATCAAGCGACCATGGAGGCCCCATTTCTATTCTGTCCTGATGGCGGATCGTTTTACGGTTAATGCCACCACTGGAATGAGCCCGTTCTTCTTTCTGTATGGGAAGGATCCTATTATACCCATTGAATTACAGATGTCTACCTGGAGCATGCTGCTATGGCATGAGGTCCGAGACCGAAAGGATTTACTAGCAATGAGAGCGCGGCAATTCGAAAAGCGGGACCAGGATATTGAAGAAGCAATCCTGCGTATGCGCCGTCTGAAAGAAGCAAATGCGCACTTCTTCGACGAACATCATCTGCTTCGGAATGACCGATTTGCACAGGGTGATCTTGTTCTCCTGCACAACACCATTCGCAGCATGGACTATCATTCAAGGACAAAACTACAATTCCGTTGGTTGGGGCCTTATCGGATTCATACGGTCAAAAGCGGTTCATATTTGCTGAGTGAACTCGATGGTACGGTTTTATACGATCTGACCCATCAGCCGGAGTCATTCAATGGCGATCGATTGAAGAAGTTCTATTCTCGGAAGGATCTAAATGATCAGGAAGAGGCTTCATCCTTACCGCAGCGTAACCCAAATGGACGTCCGAGAGGTCAACGAGGCCGAGGTAGTGGCCAAGGTCGACAGCAACATGAAGGATGGATTGAGACACCACGTGAGCGAGCACCACGACGACGGGGAAGGCCTTCGTTGAGAAGAACGAGGGGTCGCAGGTCCTAATCGGGGCATCGTTTTCCGGCAGGAAATTGATGCCTTAGAGCCTTAGAGCCTTGGGGCCTTGCGGCCTTGCGGCCTGATTTGGCCGTTTGTCTCGACCCGATTAGGAAGCCACGCTCTACATGATATAACTTCCTTTCTTCCCTCTCTTTCACTTTCAATTTCTTCAACCCCCCTCTCTTTCGCAACTCACCTTCATCATTTCTTCATCCATTTCATCGTTTTCGAACGCGTTTTGATGCTCGCCCGATACCACCGAACCATTTACGAACCACGGAGGACTCGCTGCAGCTTTGCAACTATTCGGCACTGCGTGACTCGACCAGGGACGGTCGAGTCGGGAGGAGGGGAAAGGACCTGGTTCTTTGTTCCCGAAGCTCTTTGAAACCTGCGATTCTTTGTTTCTTTCAGACCCCGCTTACTATTTCCTCTTCTAATATGCCTCGAAACCTACGTCTTTGATACGTCTTACCTGTGCTTCGAAGCCATTCGCCGGATACGATTCCTTTGACCGATCCGATTACCAACCTCTCCTTTCACCGTTACCTCCGAGACCTATTCGAATCACCTCCTTTGTTGCACGAACCGCATAAAGATACGCCGTGATGTCTGATTTCGAGATGGCGGAAAGCCAAAACACCTTTACTCCAGTGAACCGTGCTGTAATACGACGAGCCAGGATGGATGAACCAATTCCTACAGGCATGATTATCAAAGGCAAAAAGATCCACACGATTGAGCAAATGCTTGAGGCCCTGGAAGAGAGTGACGCTGCAGAAAAATATGACATTGCACTGTTTTGCTATGGGAAATTGAATGCTGCACATGACTTGCTCGGTGACGGCATCTGCAGGCTGTTTGACTATGTTAGCTCCGCAGAGTTATGGAAGGGTCATCATGAAGACCAAGAGGAATTCCAGCTTCGATGGGAAAAAGCAGTCCAGCTACAAAAGCGAAGAGCAAAGGATGCGAGAACAATCGAAGGCATTCGACAGCGAGCGCTTGTGAGATGGGACAACCAAGACCCCGCAGGCAGGAATACCACCGAGTTCTTCCAATGGGTCAAGAATCGAGCGTTTGCGGAGAAAGTTAGTAAGCTCCTGAACACAGATATGTCCTACGAGGATGTCAAGCTATCTATCAACAACCATGTCATCAAGAGATGTACCTTTGGAAAAGGAAGTGGAGCCCAGAAAACCAAGCACCTGGAACCCAGTGACCTGCTCAAGACCTGCCAGTGCCGTATCCTGACGCCGATTCTCCAAGAACACCTAGATCGTGCGGGTCTCCAGATAGACCAGGATGGATTCGTTTGTCCAAAAGGCGAAGGATTTGATCTTCCAAGGATCGAACCAAGAGCATATACCCTGCCTCCGTCTCCCGAGAAGAGTGTTTTCCTACCGGAAGATGATGCTGCTGCTGCTGCTGCTCCCCCTGATGAATTGGAAGACCAGGATATGGAGGAAGAAGAGAGCGTGGAATCTAGCCAGGATTCGGAACGCGACGAGGAAATGCAGGATGCCCCGCCGACACAGCAGGAAGTATTGAACAATGCCGTTGTCGAAGAAAGCGACGAAGAAACAGTTGCCCTCGCGGATGCACATGCGAAGTGTGGATGTTTACTGCGCCCTGCTACCCTGATACGAGCCCTCAAAGAAAAAGATTTCTCGAAGCGGAAAAATGGACTGGTCGCATTGCGAGCCATTGGAAGAAGATTAGCGAGGTCCGGAGATATCACTGTCAATACTCTTTGCAGTAAGCACGCAAAGGCACTAGTGGAAGCTATACAAATGACTAGTGCGTCCAAGAATCACCAGCAATTGGTGAACCGGGTTGCCCTATCATATCGACACATTGGGAACTGGGACCGATTTATGAAGGACCATCCTCGATGGTTTAGTTTCCGGCAGGAAAACGATCTCGGTTTCCATCGTTTCAAGCCGCAGCACTACGCCCCTCTTGTTTCTGACTTCGCCGCTGCTACAGAATGGCTGTCGGTTGATACCCTGATTGACCGGATCTACGCTGGAAAGGCCCCTGATATTCGCCCGGCAAAGGATATGCATAATGATGGCAGCACTATACTGCCAGGTCTCTTTTCATGGCTCGGAGAAGACCTCGACGGAGAACATCCTGAGGGACTATGGCCGTTGATTCACCAGGAGTTCCGAATGTACCATTACCACCTGAGCAAGTCGACAACAGAGATTGGATGGCTTCGTGGGATGTGGTATTCAAACATCCAGCAACTAATTCGGCAAGACCTCTCCTACTACATGTCATACGTCTTTTTCCGACCCGATCATGCATGGCGCCTGATTTCCTACCCCTATTACACCAAGAGCACTCAGATTGGTGAAAATACTAAGTTTCGGCACTTGGATATCAACATCCAAGATTATCTCGACACAGGACGGGGCGGCAGTATCTTGCAAGGATCTGTATCCTTCACCCAGGAAGATAAACGGAATTGTACCACGATATTGAAAGGGATGCATAAGACAGAGCGGTTAGCTGATTGGTGGAAGAACATTCAGTCCCGCGGGCCCGTTCCCGATGGCCTCATTTCTGGCATTGAACCCCATATGTGGACGAGAGATGACGAGGAGAAGTACGGCATCCAATGGACCCAAGAGGTTTGTGGTATCGGTGACGTACGTCTTTCTCTCCCATTCCTGCCTCATGGATCGACAGGACCGGCTACCGCAGTACGCAGAACAGGACTTGCGTGGTATACTGCCATTCAGGACGACCACGAAACTCTCGACTGTGCCGAAGCCAATACATGGGAGGAGCTTGCCGAGGCGCACCGCGCACAAATGCCGGCTACTAAGACACCATCTGGCTATCCTTCATCGCGGTATGGCACTATTCCATTTCCTTTCGCGGCCGGAGTTCAATTTCGAACAGCACGACACGATATTCCGAACTGCCTGGTAGGACGACAGAGATGGGACAGCCCCTCGGTTTGTATGGAATTGGACGACCTTTTTGGCAAGGATCCGGAAGTTGCAAAAAGAATAGTTCGTGACTGGCAAGAGGAAGCCTGGTATGAATACCTGCGTTGCTTCGAACTCACCAAGCGCTTGGAAAAGAAGGAATATGGCAAGCACTCCTTCTTCTCCCGCATTGAAAAAGGCATGCTCGTGGACGATCCTGAACTAGGTCTCTTGCCTGATGGTCCCACTTCCGTCGATGCTGAACTTCAAACGCTGTCGAACATGCAGCAACCTACCCCCGAAGCGGAGGTTGGCCTTCCTCATAGCGGCTAGGTGCCTATTAATGGATGAAGCATGACATGACTGTCGGAAGCGTTGTCTAACGAAAATGTTGACGTTCTTTTCTTTGTTTTCTTTGTTTTCTTTGTTTTGACTAGGGGACAGTCAAATTTTCAGGGAGGGTGGTATGTAATGGGGATTCCCGCTCTCAACATCGGTATCCTGTAGTCATGTGCTGGAGGCCTTAGCAACAAGGCCACCGTTTTGTTTCGTGAGATTAAGTAGCGTTCGTTCGATACTATCAAAAACAACATGCATGTTCCCCTTTATGAAAATGTTCTACTGAGGCTGCTGAGGTTGCGGTATCGATATACTGCGTATGAAAGGTTCTGTTATTGCTCGTTCAATCATCTCTCTATAGCGTCACGCTTTGCTCATCTCGTTCCTGCACTCTGCGAGTGTGGTGGTTTTGTCTCTTCGCGATCGACCCGTCTGCTTGACAGACTGCCAGCGAGCATTCCCATCTTACACTAGTTATCATATATATATCTTAATATACAGAAGATTAAGAGATTTAATAAGCGTACTGTTTATTATTGTATAGCTAAGATAGCTATAATTAACTAGTATCTCTACAAACTAAGTTCTATTAACTATAATATTAACTATAAACAGTAGTTCTTTACTCTTATCTAGTTTCTTAATTCTCTTTTACTTCTATTTATAGCTAAGAGTAGAAGCTATTCTTTTTCTAACTTACTATTACTAGCAGATATAAATTTATCGTTGCTAGTATTACTTTTAATAACCAGCTTTACTTTCTTAATATAGGTATTTCGTTCTGTCTTCTTTTCAGATTTAATAGTACTTTAACCTTCTTTCTTAGTTAATTCTGCTATAATATAATAGTTTCCTGGCTAGAAAGCTAAGAGATAGAGATATTTAGCGATATAGTAACTATACCTTCTGTATCAGAAGTATCTTCTACTCTATTGTTAGTCTTATATTTCTTCCTTATTAACCTATTAGGCCCTTTTTAGCTACTTTTTAGCACTGTTTTATTAGTATATTATACGTATCTTGGTTCGGTTAACAGAGATAGTTAGGGTCTAATCTATTTTATCTGTATAACTTACTCTAGTAGTTCAGTAGGGTTTTATTTTATAGAGCCCTAAGGTATCCTTATTAGTGCTAATCTTATATAGATAATTAATTAGGCCTAGGAAGTTATTTAGGATACTACAACTAAATAATACTATCTTTATAGTTATATTTAGCAAGCTTAGTAATATCTATTACTTTATCTAATCTGGCTATTCTATAGTACTAGTATCTATAAATTCCTTTTCTAGTTATAGTAGAAACTTAGTAAATAATATTTCTTCTTCTTATTTTAACTATTATAATTATCTTCCTACTCTAGCCTAAGTATTTAGGTTACTATACAGTATTACTAGGTAATTTAAAAGGTTCTCTAGACCTACTGTCTTTTATTAGTATTCTATATAGGTAACAGTATTCTTTAAAGCTATCTTTTCTAGCCGGAAAAATATATATAGGAATTGTTCTTTCCTTAATCCGATAGCTTTACTATTAACTATTAACTTATTTACTATTATCACCTTCTAGGTTAGCTATTCTAATATATCTCTAGCGTATATTAGGAGGTTAGGAAATTATATATATAGTTAGCGAAAGGGCTTAGCCTAGACCGGTAGTACTAGCAGGGATAATCTTTTGGCTAAAAGATTAGGTCCTTTCTCTAGATCTTTAGGCTCTTTTTGTATATTCTTCTTTATAGCTTTTGCTAGGGCTATCTAAGTTATTCTATATACTCTTCCTATTATATAATAACTTAGTAATATAACGTTTATATATATATTAGTTGCTATATAATTATATCTAGTAGGTTTTATTGTTGTAGTTTCTTCTAAGGGAGATCTATATCTATCCTAGTATTTATTATTAAATTAATAATATAGTCCGTATAGATAATTCTTTTGCTTATTATACCTAGGAATATTCTCTTCTAGAACCTTTACTTTATATTTAAATCAGTATCGAATAGATAGTAATTTAGGGGTATATTCTTTATATACTTAAGACTTTTTAGGACTTTTACTTTTATAGTTAAATTAGTATTAAATAGAGAGTAATCTAGGGGTATGTTCTTTATATACCTAAGACTTTTAGGATTTTTGCTTTTATAGTTAAATTAGTATTGAATAGATAGTAATTCAGAGGTACGTTCTTTGTATGCTTTGTGTACCTAGGACCTCTAGGACTTTATAGGTAATTTTATAATTACTAATCAAATCAGAAGATTATTATATATAAAGGGCTATAGCAATAACTGTTTAATTAGGGCTAGGCCTATATACTGTTTATAATAATCTTAAAGAAGAGTATCTATGTAAGTCTCTACCTGGTTTTCCTGCAGGAAAAGATTATGTAACATAACGTGATATCTCCACAGGCCTAGGCCTGTTACACTAAGAAAATAATAAAATAGTTTAAGAAAGAACTAATGTAATTATTGTAGGTAATTTAAAAGGAAAATACTAAAGTATTAACTCTGAGAAGCTATTATATTATAAGAATTATCTCTATATTTCTGTTAAAGAAAAATTAAGAAGAAAACTAATTAAACTTTACTATAATAAATAGCTTATAGAATATTTTAGAAGGACTTATATAGAAGAGCTATTAAAAAGAAAATTTTATTAGAAAAAGCTACTAAAAGACGTTCGAGAATATATTAAAATATACCTAATATACTAAAGAGTTAAAGCTCTAAGGTATTAACCTTATAGTAAACTCTAATCTCTTCTAATTCTCTATCGGCTATTTACAGAGCTAAGTATAGACTTTATAATAAGACTTCTAATTATAATCTTTAAAGAAAGAGAATATAATATAATTCTAGTAATTATCTGCTAACTTATAAAATTCTCTTAATTCCTCTCTATATCGATAATAATATCTATAGAAGACTTTACTAAACTCTTCTTTAATTAAATTAAACTTAAATATAGAAACCTAGAGAGAATTATATCTAATTAAGACTCTATCTTTATAAGTAGATTCTGATTATAACTCTGTTACTATTTAAAGATTAAACTATAATTCTCTATAGTATTCTATCCTTAAACTAATAGTTAGACAGAAAGACTTAACTAAGTTCTAGAGGATTATCTTAGGTATTTTATTAATAGAGAGTAATTAAATTAGGCTTAACTTCTTAAGATAGTACAGTTTATATATAATAATACTATAAATATATTAACTAATAAGACCTTTTTCTATATACTGCTAGAATATAATCCTAACTTCTAAGTCTAAGCTCTAGAGAAAGTACTTAAAAAAAGAAGCCCTAAGTACTAAAGAATAGGTAATTTATCTTTAAAATATTTATAAAGAGACCTTAAGAAAGCTTTAAATTACATAAGAAATATAACAGAAGTTATATAATAAAAATTATAAACTAAAAGACTTTAAAATTAGAACTCTTATATCCTTTTTAATAAAGAATATCTACTTTAAAGCTAAAGAAAAGAAGTTATCTCCCTAATAAATTAGATTCTTCTATATCCCTATAAAGATTAGTATATAGGTATATTATATTATATTACTAGAGAAATACTTAAGATTATATAATATTTTCTCTATCTCTCTTCTTAAGCTATAGAATAGCTAAAATAAAGATAATTTATAGATACTAATATCTAAACTTAAAGATAAAGAGGAATAGAAGGTTAAAGAGATTTAAGATAAAAGAATCTTTAATAGAACCTTATACTATTATATTAAATAGACTAGCTAGCTATTAGAATATAACTAATAGAAACCTATAGATTACTTAAAGAATATATAAGGTATAATAAATTTATTTAGAAGAAAGAAAATAAAGAAAACTATATTATAAAGATAATAAAACCCCTAGGATACTACTAGGAAATACTACTAATTTAATAATAATTATCTTATATATTATACTAATTATAAAAAGAAAGATAATAAAGGAAAGACCTATAGGCCTAAGATTAATACTAAATAAGGCTATTTAAACCTTAGAAGAGAGAAGATAAACCTAGAAGCTTACTAGGGTAAACTATAAATATCTGCTAAATTATAAATACCTTAAATAGTTACTAATATTATAGTAGTAATAGCTCCTATAGATAAATTAGCCTTAAATCTAACTATAATCTTCTAGAAAAAGAATTAAATTATACTTTACTAAAGACTATAATCTGTATTACTAATATTAAGATAAAAAAGACGTTAAGGGTATACTAAAGATCTGCTAGTATTAGTAATATATTTCTTCTAATAAGTAGCTATAAAAGTATCGTAATCCTTAAATAAATTAGGATAGTTCTGGCTATTAAACTTTAGGCTATAGGAGAATAGATAGAAACTAATAGCCTAATAGAAACTTTTTAAGAGATAAAGAAAGAAAATAATTACTATAGCTCTGCTCTCTGTACCCTAAGTAGGTACTAGTATTCTAATACTAAGATTAGTAGAATCTCTAACCTAAATATCCTCTGCCTAATCTAATATTAAGTAAAGCTAATATATATTACTCTATATTCCCTAAGAAAACTACTATAAGTTAGCAGTAAATTAAACCTAATCTAAAGAGATCTTATACCTAAAAGTAAGTCTTACTTTTAGTATTATAATAATAATACTTAATTAAAGTAACTATATCCTACTAGTAATATACTATAGTAACTATACCTATAGGTATATATAATACAGTATAAGCTATATATCTAATACAGAAGGTAAAGAATAGCTCTAGAGTAATATTCTAAAGAAGATACTTTTTTTTATAAGAAGAACCTTTTTTCTTCTCTTCTTTCTTCTCTTCTTCTTCCTTACTATCTAAGGATTATAGGCTTAGTTTATTACTAATACTGCTTATATCTAAGCCTAATATACTACTGTTACTATTATTAGCTATAGGAAAAATATTATAAGCTTTAATATTAAAGAACAAAACGGACAGAATAAAAAGAGAGAGTTAGAGAGTTAAGAAAAGGATAAATAGATAAAGAGTAAGAGCAGAAAAGAGAGAAACTTTTATTATAATAATAATAAAGAAGTTATACTGCTTTATTTATACGCTATATAAATAAATCTAAAACAGTACTATATCAGAAGCCTTTATTAGAAAGGAGTACCTTTAAGTAAGTTACCTATTCCTGCTAAATATTATACTAATGCCTAGGCTAGCTATTGCTCAGAGAGGAGGATAAATTATTATAGGATTCTAAGTATATAATACCTTAGATACTTAATACTAATCTGAAGCTAAATCTCCTTTAAGTTACCTGTATATTAAGGCCTACCCGAACCCTAATATATTTAAGATCCTATAAGTATTCAGGATTCTTGCTCTCTTTAAGAATTAGTCTGTATATTAACTATCTAATCTAATCTCTACTATCCGATATCCTTACCTAGTCACAGGTCTCTAGCCTGACAACTTAGTAACCATTATATATTCTTTTACTTCTATACTTTGGACTACGTCTGGAGTATTCTCTGTCAGAAGGATACTTTTCTTAGGATAACTCAGATAATTAGGGTCAGTAATAATAGCTAATCCCTATCTATCTGTTGTTAATCGTATAGATTCTCTCTCAGCTTCTCAAAATTACGCAGCCTAATGTAATATAGCCCTCTTCTGGTACTAAAATTATATAATTTTCCAGAGAACTAGGGGTCTTCTGCGTCTCCTATATAAATAAACTCGAATAGTTTTAATTCAGGGGTTTTGCAGCTTTACGAGGGGAATTTTAACAGTACGATAGCAGTCGTCTGTATACTCTGTCTAATCTTATTATTGTTTTTAAGATGATTTTAATCAGAAGAGTACTCTTTCTTAGAGATAAGTCTTCTTATGAATAGCTATAAAAGGCCTATTCGGTTTCGGACATACTACCATATGAGATTCTGGAGTGAAGTTGTGTGTATTGAGTAGTATCTAGTACATAGAAGGTTATATATATAAGAAAAGCTATCTACGGTAGACGTAACATACCGTAATGGTACTTTGGGGATCACAATAATAATAATCTAAAAGAAAAACCTAAAAATATCTATTGAAAGATGGGAATGCTCGTAGGCTGTCTGCGTTGGCAGACGGGTTGATCGCGAAGAGACAACACCACTACACTCGCATAGTGCAAGGAGACAATAGGCAAGCGTGACACTATAGAGAATCAACAGAACAAACAACAGAACGAATAACAGAACCTTTCATAAGCAGTATGCCGATACCGCAACCTCAGCAGCCTCAGGGAATCATTTCATAAAGGGGGAACATGCATGTTGAATTGATAATATAGAACGAAACTATTTATCCTCCTTAAACTAAACAGCAGCCTTGTTGCTAAGGCCCTAATCACATGACTCTGAGATACCGATGTTGAGAGCAGGAATCCCCACTACACTATATATAAGGCCTAAAAACAGTTCTGATACATACAGCATTTAAAGGCTTGGTATATTTGATCTGTTTACACCAAAATGGGGACCCACTGGGTCCCCATGTGGGTTTTGGGTTAAGGGCCTCAACCCAAAACCCATTTTGGGCTGGGTTGGGTTGGGTTGGGTCATGGTTGACATGGGTTCTGGCGATGTCTACCTAGGACAAAATCGTGGGCGCTAGGTGACTATCGACATACAATATCTGTTGTATGTTTTTTTTTCAGTAAATCTTTTGAAGAGTACTGAGCCATATTATACTCGGATTATATCCTCAATTCGACCGAAATAAAAGCGTCAATATACCGAGAGACCAAGGGGAGCAGCTTTGCTCTCATTGCAACAACTTCGAGAAACATTGAAATCTGCAACTTGTGGTCGTGCAACAGTAAAAGTTCCGGGTTTCTGAGAGATTTCTTCGTAAATAGTTGCTTTTTCATCCCGATATCCCACTTAGAAAAGTTAAGTTATGGCCATCAAAGATAACAGGTCGTGGTGTCGGTATCATGCTCAATCCACACCGCCAGTTCCACAAATCAACGATGAACAACAACAGAAAGAAATAACATGTCATCGCCCCTTTGCAGGGCAACTATTCTCTCAAATGCTTCTTACATTCTCTTATGTCCTTCTCGAAATCTATTTGCGGGCACTAAATGGCGACGCGCGACAATTTCACGACGTCTGTTGTCGCAAGGATGAAAAATGGGTACCGCAGATAGGAAAAGGAAACTATCAGGAGACGAAGCAAACAACCTGGGACAAAACCAGCCCATTGACGAGTCAACCTGGGATAATGCCTACAATTACTTGCTGTAATCCGTAGCAGAATCTGGTCGTGATATCGTATTCAGTGTAATAGAGGCCTATTGCGAGAAACAAGTGCATTGAATACGCGATACTAAGTGTGGGGAAGAGATGAAAACAGTAGGTAAGGCCTCGCAGATAGCAGTGCCGCACTCGTATTACAATACTGCGCGCACCCCACCTGGCGGTGAGGGTGCGCGTCACAATTAGAACAATTGTCAGAATTAGAACAAATTGAAACTATTTACAACGTTTTTCAACGCACTGGATTTGAATCGAACCAAAAAAGTAATCCACCCTCTCGGGCAGCTTTTTCCGCATCTAATGATGCCTGCTTTGCCTGTGAAACCTCTGTTGCTGTTGGTTGGTTGAGCTTGTGGCCTATTCGTTTTGCAGCTTGTTTTGCGACCTTTGTTGCTTCCTTCTCCTTTCTGGCTTTAATTGAGTAGTTGGCATCACGTACACTCAGTATATTAGAGCCAGAGAGTGGCTTTACCTGTCGCTTGTGAAACTGGCGTTGTAGAGGACGACGTGCAGCTGATATACGACGAACAATATCTTTGGTTAATGCTGCGTGTTCTATGATAACACCCTGATGTTTCAGAACTCGATTTAACCCTCGCTGAAGCTTTGGGGATATTCTCTCTTTTCTGAATAGCTTCTCCAGCTTCCGATGATTCCTTTTGGCAGCTTGTATTGATTTTGGAGGTGAATTCTCAATACTGGATGATCCAGGTTCAGGAGGAGGTGGTGTATGCTCTTCTCCGTGTAGTCGTAGCTGAGATGTATCGATATCAAGGTCCTCAGAACTTATTGGAAGCTTCATACGAAGCTTCTTAACAATATCTTTGCCATTGACTGGGAAAATACCACGTTCTTTAAACGAATCTCGGATAATTCGAGTGTTGAAAGTACGGGCGCGTACTCTGGTGATGACTCTTAAGAACTCTGATTTACCAGCCGGCATACCTGCAAAGTACGACATCTCATTATTAACCACCTTGAAATGCTGTTTATAAGCCAAAAAAGGCTTGCCATCAAGAGGCTGAGATATATGAGTTGTATGAGGCTCAAATGCGATTGGTAAAATCTCATATTCCTGACATTTTTCGAGGAATTCAACCGTAAGATGAGAGTTATGACCATCAAAGATCATAATACGCTTCTCATTAGGTTCTACTCGCTCTTTTGTTGCTTCCTGGAAGTGACCAAGCCACTCAAGAAGTAGTTCATCAGAAATCCAGCCATTTGGAGAGACTGCTGTAAGTGTACGTGGTGGAAGGCCCTCGCTGTTGTCATACCAAACTTCTTGGAAGGTGGTACCTTTAAAAACGAACAACGGGTCCATAAACCAACCATCTGCAGCAATACACTCTAGAGCAGTAATAGTCTCTGAATGCTCGTTTTCTCCAAGATCAGGCCCTCCTTCCTGCCCTAACACTTTTCGATTCTTGCCTTTTCCTGGTTGGAAACCACATTCGTCAAAGTTGTATACCAACCGTGCTGGGGTATTCTTTTTGATCACATTTTTCAGCTTCATATACCACACATCGAGCTTCCATGCGTCCTCTGCCTTAATACGCTTATACTCCTTCGTTCTCTGCTTCACTGGCGATAGTTTCACATCCTCTGGCAAACGCTTAATAAAGCGATAAGCCCAGCGATCGCCTAAGATATGATCTGAGCCTGCGCGAACTAACGAGAGCTGCGCCATCTCATGGAGCAACGCCGGGGTTACTGGCATATGATATTTGTTCAATTCCACAATCCACAGAATCAAGGCTTCCTCCTGAGTATTATCAAGAGCTCGATTTTCAGGTTTTGGTGCTGTACGAGGCTGTTTACCCTGGCGGATGCGTCCCCGCAATACCCCATATGAAACACCATATTGCCTCGCGATTTGCGACAAATTCGGGTTTTCAAGGAGACTGGCGGCTTCGCAAGCCTCAGCCACACGAGATTCGTCAATTTTGGGTCGATACGGCATAATGGTGGATGGTAATAGCTTCACGAAGGCTGGTTGTGTGAATTTGTTCTAATTCTGACAATTGTTCTAATTGTGACGCGCACCCTCACCGCCAGGTGGGGTGCGCGCAGTATTGTAATACGAGTGCGGCACTGCTAGGCTACAAGGATCACACTAGGCCCAAAAGGGAAGCAAGCCTGATCCAGAGTGTTACATTCAGCCTCAATGTCAGAGCCCACGCATTGCATGCTACGTGGCATTGCATACAAAAAAAAGCAACTATCAGGGCGGAGCCAGTAATTATACAATGACATTACTACAATAGTAATAAAATAGCTGCGGGAATAACTTCTGAATGGACCTCCGCACACACTATCGGTAACTGCAGAGTAATGCTATGCAAAGTTCCTGTTCGTGAACCCCTCCTTAAGTGGACTCTGGAGCTTGCTTATATGGCCTTTCTTGAAGCTTGGGCTAAGCCTCCTCCTAATATTTTTGACACCCAGATCATCCAACAGCAGCCAACCATATCTAAAATGCCGATCGAATTTCACGACAGTAGGACGATAGGAGAGGGGCTCGTCGGCGATCGCAGAGTGACAGACAGCCTATCTCCTTGCCAATACCAAACCGAAATAGAAGCGACAATACGAGTAGGCCTCGGAATCGCTCCACGCCCAATAGAGCGCATAGATCTGAATCCTTTCAAGACTTTAAGGGCAGATATTCCGAATCGAGTGAGGAGGACTTCTCGCATGTCGATTTCTACTCTGACTTAGATTCTGATGATACGGACGAGGATGATGAATCTGAATTTACCTTCGACGCCCCTCATCTCGAAACATTCGAGCTGCCAACGGCACATATGGTGCCATCAAGTAACGGGTTAACTGAGCCGGGGTCAAAGGCCGATGCCAGCATTCCAAAGCAAAAATCGCTTGAAATTGCGCAGATCGTCTCTTCAAATTATATTGAGAGAAGAGAAAATGGATCAGTTGAGTTTTCTGGGGAGCTGATGCGAGTAAGCGGTCGAGTGCCATCGCTGTTCTCCTGGCTGTGAGATTTATAATTTCCCAGACACCCATCAACTTGAAGCAGTACTAATTGCCACAGACATCTAAATCCCGAAACAATGAGCTTCAACAAATTCTCGGTATGGTTACACTAATCCGCATATAAGTGGCGGCCTAACAAGTTCAAGGAAATCGCTGTTTCTCTTCCCAATTTATCTCGAGGTGAGAATGACGATGTTTCTCAGTTTCTCAAAGGGGTCGGAAGTAAATATCAGAAACCCATTAGAACAGCAAACGGTCGCAATGGTTGGTATATGGAACCGACTGTTGTTACTAAGTCAAGGGACCAGGCGCGCTTTCCTGCAGTCGATGGTGTTTCAGCTGGACATGAGAACTATCTTTTTTTTTGTTTGCCATATTTTAGGCTGGAAATGCACAACTCGATGACTTTGCCCGAAGGGGGTCATTTGCATCCCTCACAGCCGCTTTTTCAATCCCATCATCCGTCCATCGGCAAGCAGCGTGACCTACAACAAGTTATCTGTAACTTGCAGGGCATACCCGAGAACCATTGTTTTCATGTATCCACTCTGTGGTGTCTGCTCATTCCCGATAGTATGTGTTAAGCCTCATGATTGATCGATGTGCCTTTGTCGCTTATACTTATATCAGAGTACATTCTCACTTGCGCCAAAAGTCTGTCTATTGAGGACATATTGACAGACTCGATCACGGTCCAACATTCGCCAGCCCCCAAAACATTGTCAATTAGCTCATCCGCTCTGCCATCGACTTTCCAGGTGGAGTATGATACCAGGCTGTGGTTATTCTCAATAGATCAGTGCGACACCTGGTTTGTAAGTCTTGAAGTATCTGAGAGAGACATGAAACGAGCCATTTTGACATTCGACCAGAAATTTATACGTCGCCTTTCCGACATAAGTCTGAATCTCGAAGAGACATTTCTTATACGTTGGAGAGCGCGCGTTCTGGAGCCAACGCAATGGCCAAAGCTCATCACTCAAGCAAAAAGATTCCCAACGAGGATCCAACTGGTTAGGCGGTAAGTTATATGAAGTTTTAACGAGTTCTTAGCACATGTCTCTAATCAATCTAAACAGCAAGCATGCAAAATTGGCCGACGCAGAAGGCGGAAGCTTACCCCCATTTAATCGCGAGCCAGAAACCTCGACATCACCAGGACCAGCAAGTGATCGACTGGCGGTAATACGTGAAGATGAAAAGGGGATTCGCAGTCGCAGTCAAAGCCCAGGTGGTACGAGCGTTGGTTCAACAGACTCGAAGGAAAAACCAGGAGACACCTCGAAAGACTCTACATATTCAAAGGAACGAGAACCTTCTTTCCGTCAGCCATTTCCGCCACCGCGGAAGACAGCAAACCATCCCTTCAAGTCTAAAGAATTCTATGCCCTCTTGTGGTTAGCAGTCAGTCCATCAAGCAATACCCGTGAGACAGCAAGAAACGAAGATCCCCAGCGGTTGGATAATGATGACCATCAAGAGAAGATTGAGTCGTTTATGAAGAGGCTACACGAATACATGGAAACAAACGAGAATACAAGAACACGGATTGAATACCAAAACACCACCGGAAAGACCTTCGAGGACATGAATCGCGTTCTGACAGGCCTTAAAAGAACCAATTTCGACTCAGAACAGGCCCAATCTTTGCAAATGCGCTTTGCAAGCGCCGCTGAATCAGCCTTTCAAATATTCCTGCCTACAAAATGGCGAACCAGCATTTCATCTCGATATTGGGGAGCTGTTATTACGATATTAACTGTATAGAATCTCTCCACATAACCTGGTATGAAAACAAGTGCTAATAATAATTATTCTATCGTATAGGCGGTATCTCCAAAGAAACCCGACTATTTTCTTCGTCGCACACTCAGTACCCTCGATGACATTAGCAGTCTGGGAAAACAACTCCGAGCCCAGTTATCTGCAGGAAAAGGTCCAGATCCGAAACAGACAGACACACCGCGAGAATTTGCTAGAGCCTGGTATCATCTTCTTCTATGCATGCTTTTCTGGTCGCCACAAAATATGGAACCAGCATTCAACCAGTCGCGGAGCTGTCGGAAATTCCTTCTCTCGGCTCAAAGAAAATTGCTGAAGATGCCCGACGGACCTAGCCTTCTCGAGTCAGAAGTGCTTTTACCTACAGGTCTATTAGTCTTCATGGCCCATGCTCTAATCAAGGACGTCACAGAGGAGTATCCAAAAACGAGAGATACATATTGGGAGTATTATGGCGAACTTGTAAGAGAAATCCGATTTCATTCGGTGATGCTCTGAGACTCCCTAAACTAAAGTGGATCTAGGAAATCAATGTCCGAGCCAATCCACTAGATCGATCGCATCAACAGAAAGTTTCCGCTTTCATTGATGAGATACGTATTATTCAACATCATATTGATTCTCAGACACAAGTTATGCGGGACCTAAAAGCTCGACTATCATCCACTAAATCCGAACGGTTTCAAGATACTGATCAGGAAGAAGCCTACCCAAGTCCTCAGCGAGCTATACTGGCAGAGTGTATATCGTCACTATCTGAAAAGGATGACTCATTTCATGACCTCTTGGGCAAAGCAGAATCGTTAATCAAGGCTGTAAGATGATCCCAGCTGCCCCCCCTTTGAAAGTAATTATCGGCGAAGGCTTTACTGACTAAACCCAGAGTACCGAGTCAATCACGATGAATAAAGACCGCCAGGAAACCGCAATCTTCATCTTCACAGTTGTGACGGTAATATTTCTTCCCCTGTCTACAGTTTCCAGCTACCTGGGCATGAATACAAGCGACATCCGAGACATGCAGAGCAAGCAATGGGTATTTTGGGCGGCGGCTGTACCACTGACAGTAGTGGTTTTATTCGTGGCGCGATTATGGGCTTTCCCTGGGTTGACTCGGTCATCCCTAATGACTAATTTCCCGACTTCTCAGATGCCTTATATGAATCCTATTCCTTCACCTCCACTTCCATATGTTTTTCGTTTTCCGCCCGGAGGCCGTGATTCTGGTCGCAGAAGGCCTACAGAATATTATTCATCTCATCGTCGTTAAATGGTTTGGCTTGTTGCTCTTCCGCATAAGATTGTTATCTTCCGGATAGTCATTATCAAATTCATCTGCAAGTACTATCTTGATATACTATTTCTGCAGACGCGTTAGAGTTTCTGCTTTATGGAGATATAAACGAATTATCACACAGGTTTAATGTCTCGTCATGGTCCTTTTTCATTCGTGGCAATACTTTACAGGATACTAACTTGTTACCAATATTGCTGAGATAGATCAAAATATCAATCCTGCTTTTGATTGAACCTTATGGTAAAGACAAGGCGAAGAAGCGACCGATCACAAAGATATATACAATATTAGCCGCGGGCCGTCCACCCCCCGGGACATCGACTGCGATTCGATTAAATGATACAATATACGCACGAGTTGTTACTCGGGCGAAGCCTTGCCCATTGGGACGACCGTCGGCCGAATGCTGAGTCACTCAGTATCAGTTTGTCATATTTCCGCCGAGTCCTGCTTGAAGGGCATGCAATAGTAGCTAAAAGTATGAAAATAAAATTAAGCACTGTTCGCGACCGCAGCGAAACTTGCGACGACGGCAGACCGAGCAACTGAGCCTCAATCGAGGTTTCTTAATCCGGCGAGGCTCAGACGGAGGCATTTTCCGGGAAAATGTAGAGATTGGATAGGATCAAGTATCCAGATCCAGTGTTCAATTCAATGGCAAGACGAGGAGAGGTAAGTTACTAGGAACATATCGGATGACGTTCTTGAAATTATCCGCCCACCGCCCAAAGGCAATATGGATAACTAAGTTTGTTTTGTTTTTGAGTTTCTACTATGTACAAAAAGAAAAGAAACTGACAACAAAGCGTAGCTTATAGACATGGCTAAAGATGCAGCCGGGGGCTGACGGAATATTGCTAAGCGCATTCTTCACAGCCAAACAATACCGTATGTACGGGACTCTCTTGGACGACAGTGCAGACATACTGTAGTATTTCCTCGAGGTGCAGTGTCCAGAACAATGGAGTATTCGCAAGATGAAATTCAAGTCGAATGGACTGGGCCTTAGAAGAGAGCGGCGATCATGATGCACAGAGGAAACAAATGTACGTGGGAAGAATGGCTAGCTGAGGCTATCAAATAATTACAGCAAATATAGCGGTGTGGACTGGTTATGCCTGTGCGACCCAAGGCCTTTGGGTCTCAGAATTATGTACGGATTATGCAGTGTAACTAATGGCAAGGAGTATTAAGCTCTCAGCCGCGCCACCTGCGTTCTATAGCCTAGCTAAAGCCACTATTGGTCCCGGCACAATTTCAACAGGTGGGAACAATGATCTACATACATGAATATTGAAAACCTGCATGCATTAAATTGATTGAATGTATTTGAACCGATGGCTGATTTGGAAATAAATACATCCACTTCCCTCTCTCAATCCCCAGAGAAAAAAAAGCCCAAACCAATTTAACAATTCATCACACTCTATTGCACCATGAAGCTTTCTCTTCAAATTTGTATCGGCGTCCTCGCCGCCTTGTCCTCCTCTGCCAACGGCCTTGTATTCCGCGACAGACTTACACAAGATGTCGACGGCACTACTCTGAATTTAGTCCACGGTATCCAAGGAGAAGAAGAGGTGACATTTGATGTTGACGCCCACAGCCTACAATTCAATGCCTGGGAATTCAATACCGAGGGTCAGCCAGATACTGATGCTGTCATAAGACCTATAAACTCCCCTGCAACCCTTGTATGCAGGGAGGGCTCGATATGCAGCCTTGATCTCAACGGAGAGGACCAACAAGTCTATCGGATAGACAGGATCAGTGGGGCTATATTTTCCTTCCAAGACACAGCCTCTTCGCTCTACATTTCTCGGACTTCGGATTTACGTCTCGAGCTCTCCCCAGAATTGACCGAAGATGGTTATTTTACAATGCATAAGATTACAGGTAGGTTTCTTTGTTTATTCCCCTTTGATTCTAAGTTTATGGATTGACTGACCTGGAGTTTAGCCTCTGAGCTTTAAGATGTGTCAATGCGAGGCAAGGGGACCCTGGTGCAGCTTCAAGGTTGAATCTAGACCCTATCGAGTGAGGAAGTGAAGACAGATATCTATGACTTTGAGCACCTAGTGCTTCGCGATATTTGAATGTATGGCCGCGAATTATTCATGTGTCTAGTAGTATGCATAACTAGCGAATACATCTTCTGCTAACATGTGGACACTTGCGACTGGTATCTTGAGCTTTTTGAATATCGCACGAGCATAGCCGGTATCAAAAAACTTATAGACCATATGCAGTGGACTGCATTGTGTTAGAAAATACTGCCAGTGATACAGGCACAGCAGAAGCAATGCAGACTTTATACCGTGCAAGGTTTGAAAGAGGTAACGAACTACTAAAAGTCCAGAATAATCCTCAGTGAACAGGACGATATTACTATATCTTACTCCTGAATCTACTATAGTGTACGCTCTTATATGAGACTGAGCCTGAGCCACAAGTCTATGTCCGGCAACCTCAGCAGCGACTACAGACTGCTGAGCTGAGCCCTAGATAAAACGAGACATCTTACAAAGAACAGCCCAAACCCCACCCACACCCTTGAAATACGTCTATACCATAATAAGTAACCGAAACCTTACAAGGGGAACTCCCGACCTCCGCATCAGATCGACCGTCGGATCGACAAGCTCAACCTGAACACGAACACGGGCCTTGCATTAAATTACACAGCATAGCATGACATACATGTATGACAGCATAACTGGAGATACAGCATGTCATAGAATAGGCATAGGCATAGGCATACGCTAGGCACACAGAGAAATAACTTTAGAAAATGGCGGGGTGCGTGTCGAATGTGGGGAAGTGCACATCCCAGCAGATCTGATCATACTATGTAGTACTCCGTGCATTAAGGAAGATAGATATCAAAGAATCACAACAAGGAGAATAAAATGGCGGAAATTATATAGTAATAGTATATCCGGGCCCATCTAGGGGTATATTAGGTGAGGAGTGATTAGAGAGCCGTAGATGGACGCCCGGGTTGTTCAGCGGCGACGGCCTGTTCGCGCGACGTCGGCCGCGACTCCGCGTGAGACTTGCGGGATCGGAAACTGTGGCGCGAGGAGACGGGTGGGCCTTCGGTGGCGGTTAGAGGGGGAACTATGAAGGTGAAAAATATGAGGTTAGCCTTTGCGGGGAAGATGGTGATGATGACTCGGATCTCCGAGAATATAAGATAGGGGATTTTTCTCCACTTACTGCTGAATCCATATCCTTCAGTAGCACCCTCGCGATTCTGAGGATCAATCTCCACACGAATCGCAACATCCAGTCCACCATACATGCCACTGTTGCTGCTTATACCGTCCGCGGCGCTGTGAGTTGAGCCTGCTTCAACCTCGCCCTTGTGCAGCGGCGCGTGGCCGTCCTTGGGGAGGGACGCCAGCTTGGAAGTTTCAATGCCGACGACGCCGTCGCCGTTGGCGGTCGGTGCTACTGCCTCGGTTAGGATGGCGAAGTTACGCGATGGCATGGTGACCTTGTTCCAGGTGGCGCTCTTCTCGATACCGCCGGGCTGCTTGTCGAAGAAGGGCATCAGGGTCTCGTCGCAAGTTCGGTCCAGGCGGTGAATCTTGTTGCGACGGGCGAGAAGGTTGGCGACGGCCTTGGGCGGGGGTTTGTTCGTGATGGCGCTGCTGACGACGTTGACGATGAATCGGTGGTCATTTTCGCCGGAGAGATTCAGCTTTGGGTTCGAGTAGAGATCGTCCGATCGCGGCGAGATGGACGTCTCCGCCCAAAATGGTGACGCGCACTGAGTGTGCGCGGGCGAGTTCCTGCAGACGCTGGACGAGCTCGCGGCGTTCGCGCTTGTGTTGGCGGGCAGTGTAGTGGTCGTCGAGATCATCTAACAAGTCGACTTGACCGTCAAACTCGTTGAAGAGGCCACCGGCGACACCGAATCTCTTGTTCAGGAGACGGATTGGTGCGATGAGCGGAGAGGTGAGGATGTTCTCCAGCCAAGCTAGACGCGGGTAGGCGATGGGAACACCGAGTAGAACGACAAGGTGCTTGATATCGCCGTTGGAGGCAGAAATCTCGCTCTCGAGTCGGTCAAAGATGAGCTTGTAGGTGTCCGGGTAGTTGACCTGGTGCCGGGTGCGCTCTGTACGCGCATCCAGACCCACGAAGCCGATACGCTTACCAAAGCGCATGTACAAACTGCGACTGCGCTCTTCGACGTACGGTCCAGGTCGCTTACCAGTGATCCAGCTATCGTCCTCTTCCTGGTTTTCCAAAACATAGACGTTCTCAACCTGGCGTGGGTCAACGCCAGAAGTGCCATTGACGGCATGCATTGTCTGGGGGGCGTCGGTAGTGAAAGTCGACTTGGGAGGAGCCACATGGTGCTGGAATAGACAATAGTACTTGAATGCGACACCTCCAATACCGCGGAACACGGCACACTTCATGAAATGATCTGTATACGAGCCAAATCCATCAATGATGTCATGGTCGTCCCAAATGTTGACCTGCGGGATTCTGCCATTGGCAGCGCGGAAGGGCTCGGTGTTATACCAGCGCACGTAGTTTGCGTAGTAGTACTCGTCGCAGTCGGCGCGCATTTTGTTGTCAAAGTCATGGGTGCGGCGCTTGTGCGGGTTGCCGATGGCGGTCCAGGGCTTCAGCGGACCATCCACACGAATTCCATCATTGTAAATCTGGTCACCACCGCCGACCATAACGTGGAAAGGTCTTTCGCCGTGGACGCGCAGGACGTCATTCCACAGGTTGGGTCCGAGCCAAGCGTCCATGTCGGTGCCGACGGAGAATCCGTTACACGAGTGAAACATGATCCGCATCGACTGCTCTTCTGCAGGTACCACAAATTCCCATGGTGCCTTGACAGACTCGGAGGAATTGTAGAGGCCCGGAATATCATACTCCCAACGCGCCTCGTAGCTCTCGACGGGGACCGCGAGGCTGAATCGCCAGAAGGCCTTGTCCGGATCTTCGTAGAGCTTGAGGCCCTCGACGGTTTGATTGGATTGGGATTGCGACTGGGATTGCGATCCCACGGGGCCGAGCTGATGGAGGTGTAACAGGGGCTTCTGCTGGGTGGGCTTCGTTACGATAAGGACACTTCCATGCCAAACGGGGGCGGACTCGTAGTGCATGTTCTTCAAGTTGATGAGCGGGCCCGAAATGAGCTCGAAGCTGTTGCTGTTGTTGGTGACATCGCCGGCACCGTGCGCGGCGTAATCGCCATTCTGAGAGACCCCTGGTGTTCTCATTAGCTTGCGCATAGGACAATTAGGGAGAATCCGGGTCTCCGAGCTGGGCGGCAGCTTCGCGGAGCTTTCCACGTACCATTGATGGGGGGGCTGAATGGTGGTGTCAGCCATTGCCGGGGAGAAAAAAAGAAAAGGCCGTGGACAAGAGTCGCACGAAGAAAAAGAAAAGAAAGGGGTATCAAGAGAGATCAAGAGCAGATCGCGCAGGTCAAAGGAAAGAAGGCGACCGGGCTGAGCGAAGAATTATAGGGCTGCAGGGCTGGGGGGAGGGGGGGGAAAGCGAGAAGATCAGCTGGAGGAACTCGACGCATACGGACATGAAAAGCCCAGCGCTATTGGATAGCTCAAGTGGAGGCAGGACCTCCTTGGCTGATGTTGGGTCGGACATGATCGTTGCTGGCGGAGATGACGCTGCCAAGACGCACTGCGGGAATAGGGAGAATTGCTGGACCAATAAGAGTCGAGCAATTTGGCAGACTGCGCCACCAGCCACACAAACCGGTTTTGGCGGTGTGGCGGTGCAAGTATACAGATGTATACGAGTATACTAGTAGTTGGTATGCATTTGTTTACTAGGATCTACGATGTATATTTACATATTCTCACTGTATCTACTCGGGATCTAGCATCTAGCATCTACGAGAGTATATGTACTCTGTACCCTTCCATGATAGTGCTGCCTAGAGCTGTGCTCCTGCATGCTGCATGCCCATTAGGGCTTCCACCGCTTACCTGAATGCACACTGGCATATGCAGTGATGTACCTACATCACAGAACACCTACGTGGACGACCCATCTTCCTGCAGATATCCATGCATTCCAGGTATGTGTTCATCGCACATACTCCCTCCCCGGCTGTACTCGTACCCATCCTCCTTGTCCCGTCCGATTCACTAGCCCCTTCGATCGCGGCGCTAAATTAAATATTATATGGGTCCAGTGGGGCAGAGACATTGCGTGAGCTCTTGGCCCTCGCTCATGAGAGAGAACGGACCCCATTATCTAACCCTAGACAATTAGGGGAAGCTAATCGAGTTTTTATCCCATGGAGATCGGTACATAACTATGGTCCGCAAATAGCACTAGCCACATGATGCCTCCACAAATGCGATCGTAATTTCCAACGCCACTGGCAATTTGATTATTTTGTAAGCCATCATACCCGGAGTATGTATCCGTAGAATAAAATTCAAGACTTGATGTTTCTTATGCATGGATTGATTGATGCTATCCACCCCAGCCTAACCTATGGCGACACCATAAGACTGGAAATTCCATCGCTTCCAAAAATGAAAATTTTCGGAAAAAGGACCAAAAAAAATCGATCATACACAATCAAACAGGCAACAGTAGCCCCGCTAATGGCTTGGCCGTATCCGCCAAATCCTCAGCCTCAGCCGTGTCCAGCCCCATCGAGCTCTAATCAGCTCTCTCCTCGCCCCAACTGGTGACCCTCCTAAGGGTGGTTGGTGTACTATGGATATCCAAAAGGTGCTCATTCCAAGGGCTCGACTTTGACGAATTCTTTCTCACCGGGGATGCACCCCATTCCATCAATGTAACAGATAACCAATCCATGCAGAAAAACACCAGAATATCCACGGGCATCATCATGGTCTCAATCATGGCAGCGTAGACCCTCCAAACAAGAACGATGCCAAAGAAGAGAAACACAAAATTATACCCGTCCTTCACCCTGACACGCGAAATCCATCGCGCAAACACAGCGAGCGCAAAATAGTCTGCCTCGAGTCCGAAACCGGAATATCCGACTCGGCATGCTCTCCACGCGACGAATATCCAGATCGAAATGGCCTTGGCCTTGTGTCCCCTTTGAGCCAACTTCCATATCCGCGACGCCACCCAATGTACTACAACCATTAGCGAGAGTCCGGACATAGGTAACTTGAACTGCTGCTGTACGATTGCCCAGAGAACAAGGAATCCATATGGTAGATACAGGATGGCAATATACTCCTCCAAATATGGCAGAAGAAACTCAAGGTACCGGTCCTTCCAATCCTCCAATGTGGCAACCAAATACCGCAGAACACACCAAAGAAGCACCCCTCGAGCAAGAGGAGTGTAATCCTCTGTGTACATGAAATAAAGACTGGAAAGGACCCACGTGCAATCCAGCCCTAGGGTATACCACTTAGACCAGTGCACAGTCGAATCGAATAACCAATAAGGAAGACAGTCAACCACCCATCTCCATACCCGACCCATCCACCCTGGCCGAAACAGAGAGTCGATATCAACACCTCTTCGTCGACATATAAGTATGACGACCCGTATCGTGACCCATAGAAGCGCCTCTTCGACGAGAAGCTCCCGCTGTCCATAGATGAGCAGCTCCATAGCAGCCAATGCAGCTAAGATATCAAGGTACCAAAGGTCCCATCGACCCACAAGATCGGACATCCAAGCATAAATACTGGGAAGAAATAATATGTTCGCGAGGAGGGTGAGGAATGAATTATTCTCGTCCCCGGTGGTCACAACAAAACACAGAACAAAAAGACAGGCCATGAAAGCCACAAAATGCCAGTACATCTGATTTCCAAAGAGCCAAGCGCAAACAATGAAAACGACCGCAAGAATAAACCACGGATACCAATGCCATTCATATGTCGTCGCATACAGCCCATGCTGAAACTCAGAAACCATGCCCACGTCCTGTTGCCCCCTGCCATCACCAGCGGGCGTAGGGTAAATATCGCTCAGCCCACGTCCTCGCGTAGCATCCTGTAAATACACACCCTGTTGCAAGTATTGCTGTGCGGTATTTTTTTCACGTTCGGCGTCCTGTATGTACGGCTGCTGATGATTCCGACTGCGACTGCGACTTCGACTCCGGCCCTGGTCCCGGCTTTCCTGCTTATTCTGCTCCCTAACCTTCTCCTCAATCAAAAGCTGAATTCTTTCCCTCTCCTCCTCGGACACAACACCCTTCCCCATCCCAACCTTCAAAAGCCCATAAGAAGTAAGCCACACATCAACCGAAGTCCTCAGCAACAAGTCTCGCAAAAACTCGTGAAAAGCATCATACTTCTCCAACAACGCTCTCGCCTGCTCCCAATCATCTTCAAGCAAATGCACAAAGTCAGCAAGGAACTGTGCCAACTGAATAACAACAACCAGATCCAGACTCCCGTGCATAGGCGTAGAAGTTTCCTTAAAGAAGTGCAAAATTCCATCCCGAACCATATCGCCGCCGAATTCGCCGAAATATTCCGTAGTGAACTCGATCATTTCTTGGAAGCGGGTTGTGGAAATGGTTATTACTTTGACGCGGTGGGGCCAGCTCTTCGTTAGCGCTTGTGAGTCGCGACATTCACGCCATATATTGGGATGTGCGTGTATTTCTTCAATGGGAAGGTTGGTTGGTTCGAGGGTGTAGCCGAGAAGTTCATTTGTTGCAAAATTGAAGCCGAGGACGAGTTTCTTTTCGCGGAAGGGTCTGGTGTCCGGGATTGGGAGGACTTGGAATATGACGATTCGTTTTGGGTGGGCTTTGAAGTGGGTTAGGAAATCGGCTTCCCAGAGTATCTCGTAGGGCAGTGGCTCGAAGCTGAAGCTGAAGGTGTTCTTCTTGGCCGTGGCTTTTTGGGCTAGGAGGGATGAGCGTCGGGTGTCTTTGTCTCGGCCTTGTTCGGCGCGGAGGAGGTACATGTAGTAATCGTGGGGGTCGGGTTTATTTTCGCGGGCGAGGTGGATGCAGTTGCTTGATTCGTCGATGTTGATTTGAGAGAGGTTCGTATCGATGCTCTTTGATGAGGACGGCATGGTGTGTGGTGGGTGAGGTACTGCATCGGGCGAGCGAGCGACTGACCGTTTCAAGTTGGATGGAGGCTGAGACAGTTGAGATAGCAGTAGGAGGAGAACTAATAGATGTTAGGCCAATCAGAACTATTGCTATCCACTGACTGTCTCAGAGGGTTGCTAAATACTAACTGACACAGAAGAATGCTATTACTTTGTCTGAGGGGCAGGGGGTCACTACTTAAATGGTTCTATTGTTCGCGCAAAGCTGGCTTTGGCGTTTGCATTTCGAAATAAAGCGGATTTTCCCTTTCACCGAAATTCTCAATCGTGGTTACGAGTCCAGGAAGGGATAGGGCGCATTGTATCTCAAAGGATGATGAGTTTCAACAATGGGTGTAGATATACAAAGAGGGGAAGATGGATTCCAAGGACACCAATCAATGGACTCGGTCAGACTCGACCTTTGTCTGTCTCGGGGTTGGTTTCAGGATCGGGTTGGAGCTAAAAATAGAGCTGCTGATTGGCCAGAGCCGTATCATTGGCAATATATTCTGAAAATTAATGTTTTTAGGGTTTTATTTTTCGCCTTGGCAAAAAGTAGGATGCTTATCCGGAGGTCTATCACCCCACGGAAAGTGACCTTACGGGTACCGTGGGATACTAGTACTATGTGGAGGAGATCCGGAATTCCAGAGCTTGACGAGGTCGCAATATGTAATTTGAGATTCTAGACTGACGTCCAACCAATCCTGGACATGATCATGAATACAAGTTGTATAGGTACCAGCTTTCGAACCTTGAAATTCTTTTTTTTTTTGGCGCGGTCCCCGATTTTTCCATTTTCACTAAGTTATGTCTGCTGAAATGCCGATTATACTCCAGATGTTGCGGAATTAGATAAATCGAGGTGAAAAAAAAGTTTTTAAAAAATTGAAGTAGTTAGGTTAAACGGCATGAGATAGGAAAGAATCACGATGAAGAAAGAATTGCAACAAAAATATGAAATCACATGTGGGGAAGAAGGGCATTGAGCCAAGGACCTTATAATTTTCAACAGCCACAATAACATGCCCGCCCGCCCAGAAACACCAGCTAATGGGCTGGGCGTGCCCAACCATGGAGGGCAGCCTATGCGTGGGAGCAGAGAAGGGAGAGAGAAGAAAGAGGACGGAAGATGTAAACATAATGTTTAGGCGCCGTGCTCCTCGTAGCACTCGTTCCTGTTAAGAGCTCCCATACCTAATCCCAGATAATATGCCCTTTCCATGGCAAGCCACCCGTCGGTCAAGTGTCACGATGTTAACCCGCCCCCTGTGAAGATTTATTTCCTATCGCAGACTTTGATACCAGTTTTCAAAACCTCTTTCTGTAGAGTCGGGTAAGTAGTACCCGTGTGTGTATAGTGCCGTATGTTGATGTCTCATTGGCTGGCAAAGAAACGAGCAAAATGCTCATGTTGCAGAAGCCAATGGCCATATGAAAGCCAAGGACTTGATCATTACCAGCATACACCACCACATTTCCCATTTCCCGGCACAAAGTAATATCTCGTGAGCTGGAGTGCAAAACCATGGGAGTGGCGGCCTTTGTGTGGAAATCGAATTCGTAGTATTATGAGTCTGCATGGTGCCGTAAGCGCACGTCTCACGGACTGGGACGTAACGCGAGTTGTTGATCAAAGCCTAAACGAGAGAGTGGAGAAGCGACAGGAAACAGGCACACAATGAAGCTCTAGTGGCCGTTGGGCTGCAACGAGCGCTAAATTTCAGTGGCCTCGTAGTCGACAACCTGCCAGCTATCGAACAGTAAGAGAAGAGTCAACCTGGCTCCCTCCAGTCGTTCGAGCAGGATTGATAGCACCGATTGTAGGTCGTTGATTTGAAGCAAAGCGCCGAGAGCTATGGCAGCGTAGTGGCGTTTCAGGTGTGAGAGGGCGAATTGAGATATGCGCAGGCGTTAGGCGCTATTTTGACGCAGGAAAGATAAGACGTGATTGTTGAGCATCCCGAACCGGATGCTTATGTTGGAATGGCTTTAGTTTAAAAGCCACACAGCTAAGAAAAACTTGCGATATCACAGATATCGTTGTCAAGAACTTTGATATCACCACGAATGGAGAGAATGGAAAACTGACAGGGGAACAGGCACACAGGGGGCTCTAAAAGCCACGAAACTGATAGAGCACGAGAAATATGACAGGCATCATTGTAGAGTATTTCGACACCACCAAATATGAACGAAACAAGCGCTAACGGAGGAACAAAACGTGAAGCTAAGCAGGGCGGATGGGCACATTTAAGTGCCCTAGCGGCGCCTTGGAGGTTGAGAAGCCGGAGGTAGCCCGCCAAGCACCTCAAACTGGACACGCAGGGTTTCAAGCTCGCGAGTCATTCCTGTAGCTGATCCCTCAATTGTCGTATCTCGAGTAAGGCCTCGCGAATGTGTGCCACTCCTTCCCTTGCTTCATTTGTGATGATTGCTGGATTGCTGGTCCACTGCGGGTCGGCGAGGTGGTGGGTAATTCGGCGCTATTTGCTGCTGGTTAGACTTTTTTTTCGTTCAAGCTGAAGAACCGGAAGAAAGGAGGGGATATTGGGAGATGTAGAGCTAGACTTACCACGGTAGTGAGATGAAGGTTCACACGATCAAAGCCTGTCAGTGGGGGGATGTTGGACATTTTGGTATTGGTAAGTCGGTGGAGGAATCCCCCACCGAAGAAAGTTTGGAAGTCGATGCACAGGCAAGAGATGGAGATGTTATCAATGCTGACGAGACAAGCAAGAGCCCTGGAGAAGAGTGGATTCAGGATGTGGGGAGATGGAAGATGGCAGGGATGGAAGAGATAGAAGAGATGGAAGAAGAGGAAAGGAGACAAACAGGACGAGTGAATGTTAGCAGGTAGCCAATCTACCCCCGCAACCCAGAAAGCTACTATGATCGTGCCTGCCATTTTCAAACTATGAGTCGTAAAATTGTGAACAGCCTTGACACAACTTCGTGATAAATACGGTCTTGATCAGAAGGCCTGAGAGAAGGCCACATGGTCGGGACTGGCATTGTGTGGCAAGCATGAGCAAGGCGAGGAAGCTGGGGTGAACAGGATATGCGGATACCTGGGGAGAGTTGGAGGACACTCTGGAGATATTGGAGAAAGACGGTGTTCTGCCACCTTTGGATCAACTGAAGGGTGACTTTTAGTTGCTTCACATTTGATAATGTTTGAAAAGTCTGCTACAATTCTATCCAAAATTGCTTGATCAAATATCCGATCACTGAAAATGCCTGAAATCTGTCCAATTTCCATCCGACACGCCGCATTGCACGGCTGTGTAAAATTACTTGCAGTATTCACTTATGTCGCTTTCGGCATCTATTTCTCGGTATGGGAGCATACGTCACTGTGCACAATAAAACTTATCGGGGACTGGTTAAACGGGATCAGACGGATCTCTCCGAGAACACGCCCTACGCCCTTCCGGAGCCAATTGTCTAAGATTGAGTGCCATGCACCTGGTTATTTCATCAACTCATCTAGCTTAATTACATGCAAGGGCGGATTTATCTGGGTTTACTGTCTCAACTCAGAAGCCTGCCATGCCGTCACTCTGGTGTGTGGTTGCTTCGGCTGACTTCCTGACGTCAAGACTGCGTGAAGTCAGACATCGGTGATTTCAAAGAAGGGAACTACTTAAATGACGACGAGCCTGTCCTGCTTGTTTCTCAATTCATATAGAACGATTGAGATACAAATTCACTTCTTTGTATTTTACTTCAAGCCACACAATGTCCCAGTCAGGTACAGGCCAACACGTCTTATTGACGGGTGCAAATGGATTTGTCGCTTCTCATATACTGGATATCTTGATAAAAGTGGGTTACAGAACTGCTTTAAAGTCAATGAAACAAAACGTGCTAATTCCTTCACAGCGTGGATATACCATTACGGCGACGGTACGATCTCAAGCCAAGGCCGACGATATCATCAAAACACATCCATCATGGAAGAGTCATGTGGAGTTTGCGATAGTATCAGATTTCACATCTAAGGGACCTTTCGACAAAATATTCCAGGGTGCCAAGAAGCCATTTGACTATGTTATTCACACGGCTTCTCCGCTCCGATTCCAGGTTAATGATATTCGGAAAGAGATGATCGAGCCCGCCGAAATGGGGTAAGTACACACCCATATTTGTGGAAATCAGAACCTAACATGATCAGAACTACGGAGATCTTGAAAGCTGCAAAATCCTACGGTGGCTCGTCTCTGAAGCGCTTTATCCTGCTTGGCAGTGCTGTGTCTGTACTGAACTCTTTCGAAGACACCACCAAAGAGGGGAAGCCCTACACAGAGAAAGACTGGAATCCTGTACGTATATCCCAAAGTACGCTGGAAAAAGGTATTCTGACAAAACTTTAGGTCACAGCTGAGCAAGCAATTGAGCGGAGCGACCCCGTTCTCGGTTACAATGTCTCCAAGACTCGCGCCGAGGCCGTAGCATGGAAATTCATAAAAGAGGACAAGCCATCCTTTGATTTGAGCGTCATTAACCCCGACATCATTACTGGACCTATGCTTCATCCTATCTCTGGGCCAAGTTCAATCAACGAGACGAATCACTTTGCTATCGCGGGTTTCATTGACGGAACGTACAAGCAAATTGAAGGAGTTACATTCCCTTTTTACCACTTTGTATGTGAATCCAGCCTCGGATGTCTTTTGTCGATATCAAACACTAATCCGAATCCTAGGTTGACGTCCGCGACGTGGCTCGGAGTCATGTCGATGCTCTCACCAACCCTGCGGCCTCCAACCAACGTATTCTGCTGATATCGGGTCTGATTTCTCCACAGCTTGTGGCCAACACGATCCGTGAGAATTTCCCCTCGCTGGCAAGTAGGGTGCCTGAAGGAAGCCCATCTCAGCTTCTACCTCCGGGTGTTCACCCGACTGGATGGGATATGAAAATTAGTTTGGATATCCTGGCTAAAGGAACCGAAAGTGGAAATTGGAATTATATTGATTTGAAGACTAGTGTTGTTGACGCTGTCAACTCTATGCTGTCGACTGGTGTTATCTAAATCCTCGAGAGTTTTATTTTTAGTTAAAAACAAGTTCCATTCTCTGGAAAATATGGAGCATAATACTCTGAAAAGCGTACGTTCGTGATTGTAGTTATGCCTGATCGGTAAGATTCCAATTGGTGACCAGTCCACAGGCATTTGCAAGAGCTTCAGTTGCATCCTATTTCCCCCATCACATCCCCCATTCCATCAACCACAATAATCCTCGCAGATATACGCCGTGGGGAGAGGTAATCCTAAAGGTATAAGTAGTAAGACGGGGGAGAATACTTGAAGCAGTATAATCAGAAGATGTAATATAAAGAGACATGAGAATATGTTGACACCAATTTCCGGAAATACTGTAACACCATTACATCTTTCATGTGTATACTCACAGGTTACATCCCAGTCATTGACTCTATTCATTAGCTTGGCTCGTTGCTTCTAAATTCCTTGGAATGATTCGCTTTTACTTTGAAGTTGACTCAATTGATGAGCCACACCTCGGGCTTTCAAAGAGTAATAATAATTCATAACGGATATAAAATAAGATAACATAATTTGATATATCAGACAACTCATTGGATTGCGAAAAGCTAACATTTCGGGAAATTACATCTCAGGCTCAGACTCGAACTTCACGGTCACACTCCCTGTGTACCGAATATCCTGTGGCGTCATGTCCACAGAGCCATCGTGGCTAGGACCAACACCACTGCCGTGCACAGCACTCCTAGCCATTTGAAACTGCTGCTGCTGCTGCTGCTGCTGCTGCAACATCGCCACCTGATTGCCATGGGCCGAATCGTTAATCTCCCGGGCAAAGACCTTCCGACCAACAACCCTAGCATAGTCCTCTGCCTTTTCAATGGCATTTTCCATGGCTAGCGTTCGGGACTCCGAATGCAGTGATTTTATAGTCGCGTCGGTCAACTTCCATTCAACCCTGTCAATGCTCACATGGGGATGCGTCATCAACTTGCCTACCACGTCGCCAAGCTTGGCAAGATTGCGAAAGATGACACTATACGAGGAAGTGGCAGTGTGGACACGGGTTCTCGTTTTATCAGGCTGGGGCTGGTCATAAAATCCTGTCCGCAACATCGTGGATGAAAACACCGTAATAGGAGCATCTTCCGTGGCAGCTCCAGTCTCGGTCTTTGGAGATAGCTCTGTGAACATTCGATGAAGTTCCTTTGAGGCTGAGGTAACTTCATGGCTCACAAGCTCTTTTTCCGGTCCTTCGGACTTGGCCGAGACCGTCAGGACTCCTCGTTCAGCCTGTCGACTAATGCTCGACGAGCCGGTCACAGTCACTGTAAGCGGTGCCATTTTGTTCTTGGGGATATTTTTGGGTTAAAAATATGAAGTTGGAAGCAGCTGTTTTTTGTCATGCCTGGGGGGGTGATTTTGGATATTTATAGAAGCTAAATTGTGGTTAGGCAACCCTCCAGGCAGACAAGTGGGTCAAGGCTGATCAAATCACATGGCCGTACCTACGTCGAGCCCTGGAGTGCCGTAAGGTCTCTACCTGTCGGCTGTATCTTGAATGTCGAGCAAAGCTTACTTCGGGTGAACTGGGGTAAGCGCTCGATGATTTGTGTATCGCCCGTAAAAATACAACATGGATAGAAACCAGATATACCGCTGCCACAGAGGTTCTTTGTCGACCCCTCCTTCGAAACAACGCTGTACTTGGTATTGCAGTTACCCTACCCCCTGACCCGTTTCCTTGACAGTATTCCACTACATAAAACTAGTTGTAACAAACAGCTTGTCTTAGCTCACCTTTTCTGTTAATTTACTTTCACTTCCAAGAGGCCAAATCCAGAAATTTCGAAACTAATTCTCCATCCATAATTGAGAGAGTCCAAGCTTCTCATGACAGGCTCTAATATCTGCCTTACAATCTATAAATACGGACTGGGATTATCGCATGTCGGAACAAAACATGTTATTTTCTCATGTCAGGCGATGCTGGGTTGAAAGAGCATCTTTATGTTTCCGACATGGAAGGCGATACTGGGCGGGGCTGTACGATCAAGATCGAAAAGAACAACATGTAGTAATGATGCTGATTAGAATATTGTTCGTTGAAGCTAGAGAGCTGGAACTCGAGTACAGTGAGGACATTTACGGGCAGTTCATTCGCTCCAGGGATATGATAACAATGCTAACTAAGGAGTGAGAAATTATCTTGCCCCTCATAGGTGGTCATATTGAAACAGGCTGTCGTCCTCGACAGAGGTACCCTAACTCCTTGTACGAGCAAAACGTAGCATAAGCATACGAGCATGAATGAGAAACATGAAAAACCGGTAGTGATGTAGCTTGTACATAATACTTCTCATGTTCGTGGTATAGGCCATTACGGCTCGTGGAACATGTACAAGCTTCAAATAATTAGACAGTAATGCAGAAAATAGTAGCAAATGGAATTTTTGCTAAAGAAAGGTATGAAAGTCAACAATACAAGAAATCACGCCCTCGGGCGACAGATACCAAAGCACATTTCCCACTCCGTCGCAGCCCTCACGTTGGATCGGCGCATAGCTCACAATCCAACGTGAGGGATTTGATATCACCACTGACGGACGGAATGGGTTAGGGGCCAGAACGCCCATTTGCAGGCTCTACAGAAGGAGCCAGACATCGTTCTCCAGCTCCGCATATTGAGCGACTAGGGCCTGGATAATGAGAGATGATCGTTGCAGCTCCTCTAGAATACGAGCCATCTCCAGGTGGATCTCCATCATGCGAGTTAGAATGGCTCTGGCTTGATATTTTTGGTCCTCTCGCATGGCAGCGGTGCTGAGTCCCTGGATAGGGGTGGCTAGCTGCCTATGGACGCGCCTCTAGTTGACGCTGGTTAGAATACTCCTTGTTAAATGGAGAGCCGGGGAAACGGAAGAACCAGACTTACAAGCGAGACGAGGTCTGTCCGCAAGCAGTTGAAGTCCGCCTGGGTCACCGTGACATCTAGAGGCCGCGCCTCTTCATGGTAAGGGCGCTCCATTTCCACAGGTAGTAGAATATTTTCACAGTTCGAATGCATCGAAGCTAATGTACGATATGCTGTGAGGTGGTCAGGCGGAATTTGAGGCGAAGCTGAAGATAGAAGAAGATGGTAAGGATGAAGATAGAAGAGTATGGGTGAGAGAGGAGTGAATGTAAATTACTACTAATGCTACTAATAGTAGGTGCGCACCGGTCGTGCCTGCCGTATTTAGAAAATGCTTTTCCCCCAGTTCTTGTTCATTGGTACCAGTGAATAAGAATACTAGTATCTCCTACATAAGAAGCTGGAACAGCTGGTGTATAACGGCAATGATGAAAGGTCTTCTAGATTATCCATTTATCTTTATATGTTAATAGTATAAGAGAGGCGTGGATAAGTGGAGATATGATTAGGGAGGGTGAAAGCGAAGCTATCTAGGTGAGGAAGGGACGGCAACCGGCATGGTTGATGCCTGAGGTTGTAGTGGCCCACGGCCAAAAGAGAGAGAAAAAAAAGGCTACAAGATGCTAAACTAAACTTCGGAGTGAATGTTAGACCGCCAAAGTAGGGGTGCGCGCTGCTTTGTCCAGCTCTGGATGGCAGATGGCATTTTCAGTTCCTGTTCCTTCCTTTACCAGAAATAACGCACACTACTATATTCGTATCAATACATGTTATCTGTCAGAAATTATCATGATCACCTAGTAGAACTTTGTTGAATTGATAATCTGAGCTCAGAACCATGAAGTGGTGATTAGCAATTTATACTATACTTACCCCACACACGTGACACAAAAGGCGGGCATCACGAAAGCCAAAACCAACATCCACAAACCACCCAACAAACCACCACACACCACAGCAAACAACCGAATCACCAATCAAAAAGCGAGCCGCCAATACAGTCTCCAAAATGGCCGCCCAAATATTCACAATAAACCCAGAAGCCTTCACCGAAGCCCTAAAAGAACTCCCCCTCTCAGCCGTGTACGCCAAAGTCTCCGAACTCCGCAACTCAATCGCGCACCTGCACCGCTCGAACGCTGAGATGAAGGATTTTCTAGAGGCGTCGCAGTCAGAAGACGAACGGAGGGAGATGGAGGGGTATATTCGTGAGAATGAGGGTGTTTTTGCGTCTATGCGGGAACGGTTGGATATGCTTCGGACTGAGGTTGAGAGGAGGGGACAGTCTTGGATTGAGGAGGAAGGGGATGGGGTGAAGGAGGAGGAGAAGGGGGATGGTGTGCCGGTTACGAATGGGGATTTGAATTCGAGTTCGAACTCGAATGCTGCGGGCCAGTCTGGGGGTGATGCGGAGGAAGGTGTTTATCTTTGAGAGTGTGGTTGATGCCCAGGTGGGAAATCAAACTCAGGGCTATCACGCTACATGCTAGCCCGCAACCCTCTACTATTGATTGGCCGGATGAAGTGAAGTGGTCATGGAAAATGAAGCCTTGAATACTACAGCGACATCCGATGATACGGGGCTTTCTTCACATTGGCCATGGTCAATGCCAGCGGCAGCCGAATGAATCAGCACGCTCCAAATGCTGTTTATATCTCGACATGATCTCCACCCGACGGTTACCACCACAAAGACGCCAGAACAAAGTCCAAGCTCCAAGCCACCCGACCTTGAAGGCACCCGACTACGGAATACATATTACCATACGGAAAGAGACTGTACGTGCGCGCACTGCTGGACTGGACTCGTTATTCCATCGCTCCCGATCATGCTGTAAACTAAAACGGCCCAATGATGGATGATACCGGAATCGAAGGGGAAGATATGCAAAGATCATGATAAAAAAAAGATAACACAAAATAGAAAAATATGAGAAAATATTCACACCGCATGCTAAATGCTCAAAGCCCCGGATCTCAGTCATATCAACGGCGGGTTCGATTCGATTCGTCCATTTCCCCGAATGGCAGCAGTAAGAAGCAGAAACACGAACGCAAGACAGCGCGGCCCAACGCCGGGTTGAAGAACATGTCATGGTCGTAATGATAAGGTAAAAGATTTGCTTATGGTAGGGTCCTATAGAATCAGGATAGGGCAGGGTTAACAATATGTGCTCCCGAACCTGCGGAGCTTTTCAGTTGGTGGTCTGTTGAGCCCAGTGGCCGCCGTTCAGCGCCTCGGGTGGGACCCGTTGCTGCTTGATGAAGAGGTCGATCAGTGGCTGCATCGGTTCCATCTCCTTGTCCGAAACGAGCTGGTAGTACTTGGCAACGGTGACAAAGTGGACAAAGCACATGTTGAGGATATCGTGCTTGTTGATGTGCCAGAAGGGGTTGAGCCAGTGGGCGTGGTACAGATGCGCGTAGCAGCGGAACATCTGCTTCATGATACCCTGGCAGTCCTTGTAGAAGGTCTGGGGGAATCCGCTGGACTTGCCGATCCAGTCATCTGCGGACGGGTTGGTGCTGTCGGCAGGAGTTGCGGGGGTTCCTGAGGCGACGCCAGCTGCGTCTCGGGTGGAAGAAGTTTCGGGGATGCCGGTGACATTCTCGGTGGGGAACATGACAGGGTCGTGGATCTTGCTGACAATCCACTTCTCGACACGGTTGATGAACTTGGGTGCGGAGATCTTAGCTGCGCGGCCGTCGACAAGCCAGGTGTAGGTCAATCTGTAGATCCCGGTTTGTTAGCCCTCCCGAACCCCAGATCTAGCCGTCGATTACCCCGCCAAATCGTTTCAACATACCGGCCAGCAGACATTGTGGGGCATGTTTGCTCGTTGCAAATGGGGAATCCATTTACGGAATTCACTTCCTGGATGACCTGAAGCATGCCGTGGAGTAGGCGGTATTGTTCAACAACTGCGACGGATCAGCATCCAAAGTACGGTATACCATAGCCAACCCCATTGATTTATCGCTTACTCTGATGAGCCAACCACTCGCCCAATTCCACATTCTTCGGACAAGCACAGAGGGTCAAGAAGTTGCCCCTCACATTAAGAGGGGCATATTTCTCCTGGAAGAAGTACTTAGGGGCGTCCGGGTCGTTAGCGGCGATGTTATCGATCGTGAGGCTATTGGAAAGCGAATGCGAATTCGGCATGGCGGGAGCTTGAGCTTGTACGGGGCTCTTGGGAGGGTTGTTCTTGTTGTTTCCACCACGGCCAAACCCTTGGCGACTGTAAGTAGGTCGAATGTTAGTGTTCGGTCGAAGAAGTATGAGGGGCAACCAAAGCTGCGGAGTTCAGGGCACAACTCGAAACGAGGTTGGAAGTGACAAAATGAATGAAAGGGAGAGGATTTGGAGAAGATAAGAGCAAACACTGCGGCTAATAGACTTTGGGGGGGAAAGCCGGAATGCTGCACTGTTTGGTGGCGCCGGGTGCTTTGTGATGCAGTATGAGGGGGGGGGGAATAACGAGAGGCAACGCCCCGCGGGAACAGGGAACCCAATGGGAGATAGAAAGCACAGCCGGCCATGGACAGCTTCGGATGACACTTACACACTCTGGAAAAAAGTAGCCATTATGCAAAGATCTTGGAATTGACAGAGACATGCGAAACCCACAGGGGAGTGACGGTGAGTGATGCTCCTCCTCCTTTTGGGGCCTCACACGAGCTAGTCCTGTTTGGGTTTAGTGTTACGGACCAACGGAGGATCTGTTAATCCGGCCGGCGCGGAGAGAGACAGGCTTGACTCGCGCGAACTTCAGCTCTGAGTTAATACCTGAATGAATTGGAGTTCCTTGTTCTTTTTTTCTCTTTTCCCTTTTCTTGTTCTTTTCAATTGGTCTTTTCCCTAAATACAGCGCACACTTCTCTACAATATGTCCTCGGATGAGGAGGCAGTTCGGCGCCCGGCCGCAATGCTGCTCAAAGCCCTGTCCCAAGCGACGGAGACAAGAGTCCTCTCGGAGCTGGAGATCAGATGGATGAGGATGATGATGCCGACCTTTTCGGCTCCGATGGTGGTGGCTCCGATGCTGGCCTCGATAGCGACGAGTATGAATGACTTATCAACCCGCATCACGAAAAAGCTAGCTAATGACAACATTCTAGTCGAGGCCGTCGCAATTTGGATGATGAACAACTAGACTCCGGTGACGATGAAGGCCGTGATGATCGCCGTGATCGCATGGATGTGGGTGCTGATGCGGGCGACTTTGACGAAGCCGAAGTCAATATCATGGACGTGAGCCTGGCGCGGGCGCCGGAGCCCGTAACCAGTGACGGAGAGGTATGGATCGAGATCACGCTGAATGCGTTTCTTCCACGGAGTGTACGTACTAACAAATACCCTCGCTTCTAGATCTACACCATGCGTGTCCCCGATTTCCTCTCCATTGAAGCGGAAGAATTCAACCCGGAAACCTACGTCGCTCCTCCCTACTCCACCGCTGCCACATCACTATGCTGGCGCAAAGACCCCAACGACGAGTCCCAGCTACAATCCAACGCCCGCTTCGTTCAGTGGGAGGATGGCTCTATCACACTCCAGCTTGCATCCGCCCCACTCGAGCAATACCGCATCTCCTCCAAACCACTCGCACCCCTCGACAAATCTGGCAACTATGACCCGAAGCTGGACTCTCACGTTTACCTTTCCGCCGCCGTGGAAACGGCTTCGGTTTTCCGACTCACTTCCCACGTCACACACGGCTTGACCGTTCTCCCGACTGCCATGGAGACCGACGATGCGGTCCAGCGACTTCAAGAATCTCTCGCCGCTGCTACCCGTGGCAACAAGACGACGGTGGATGGCTCGGCGCCTGTCATTGATGTCAAGGAAGATCCTGAAATGGCTGCGCGTAAGGCAGAGCTCGCGGAGAAGGAAGCCATGCGAGCTGAGCGTCGGCGACAACAGCTGGCAGACCGCGAGGCGGATCGTGGTCGTCGTGCACCTGCTACCCGTACTATGGGTACTGGTCTTAGTATCGGTGCTCTCGAGGATGGACTTTCGACTCGTCCTCGTGGCAAGCAGCGTCGTCCTAACCGTCGTGGTGAGATCTATTCCGACGAGGAAGATTATCGCGGTGGACGTACCCATGAGGATGAGTATGATGAGGATGACGGATTCCTGGTTGGTAGCGATGAAGATGTTGAGGAAGGTGAAGATGATGAGGAGGAGGAGGAAATTCTGGACGATGACGAGGATGCTGAGGGTGAAGTTGATACTGAAGTTGCTCCCTCCAAGTCTGCACGTAGCAAACCCGCGCCTGAGAAGACAGGAACTCCTCCGCAACGGAAGAAGAACCGCTATGTGGTGGATGACGATGATGAGGACGAGTGATCTACAAAATATCTTTTCATTTCTCTTTTTGGTCTGCACATGGCCTGGCGTCGTATTTACAAGGCTGGAATTTTGAGGGACTTTATTCATATACCAAAATTAATGAAATGGTCGACGATCACACAGTGCACTTGAAGTTCATAGGCACCGTAGCATTCATGGATCGTACTAGAAAATGTTAAGTTAGGAGAGGGACTCGCAGGTGAAAGTAGAATAATGTTTAAAAATCGAGTCGGGCTCCCAAGGTTCCAACCTTGGTAATATATTTGCAAAGCCTGAAGCTCGTTTTCTAACTGTAAACACATGGCTTGAAACAACTGGTATCTAGAAGCAGGAACATCCACCCCTCAAGCCCGATGCAAAGCAACGGACACCAACATCAACACCCATAACACAAATCATCAATGGCCCGACTTGTTTTGCATATCATCAGGAATAACCCCTTCCGGAAAATCCTCAGGCTCAAAATGAAACTTCGAAAGAACAGACCTAGCACTCCCCACAACACGAAGACAGAGAAGTTCCTTCTCATCACACTCCTCATTCTCATCTGAATTATGGGGACCAAGAGGCCCAGGCGGAGCGGATTATACCCCTCGAAAGGGAGTTGACCGGACCCATGCCAGCGTCGTTGACGATTTTCAACTTCCCTAATCAAGGACAACAAGTCTGGCTGTATAGAACAAGGAGTACCCGCCTCGGCGGCAAGAAAGCCGCCAACAACAGCACGACGGACAATTTGACGAAGCCAGCTACTCCAGAATTGCGCCGGGTCTTCACTTTGCAGCGCCATTGAGACGAATGCTGGCGGGGCGGTTTGCATGCCTAGTTCGACGGGGTCGGTGTTCCATATACGCAGCCAGGCGTCGGCAACGGTTGTTAATAGTGTTCCGGTGAACATGACATTTTGCATGCCCGTTGCAAAGACCTTGGGGCATGATTCGCAGCGGATCACGTCGCGGGCTGTCCGGGCTGCGATGTAGAGGGAGCAAATAGTGTGGGAGTTGACGGGGAATGAGGCGACGGAGGAAATATGGCTGAGACAGAGGTATAAATAGGAGAGACATGTGCATTGGGGGGGCTGGGTCGGAAGATGTGCTCGTGGGTGGGGTGAGAGGGAGGGAAGTCGCATCAAGGAGATTTGAGGTTGGAGTTGGGAATGGCATGGCTAGGGTAGCTGTTGCTTCGGTGACGGCGGAGAAGTCAGGCCACGGACTGTCTGAGATTGGAACAGGGACATTGGGGTTCTTTAAACGTTCTGGTCGCCAGCTGTGATTATGTTGTTCGTCGTCCGCTAGTAGGTCGGGGTAGGGCTGTGATGATGGCGAATGGCCACTGGCGCCGGCACCGGTTTGCCAGAAGAGTTGTGGACAGAGGCGGTGGGAGTCTGGGGTAGCGTATGACTCGAACGGCATCGCAAACGCCCCTGGAGGAGTCTCTTCTGGACTTGGCCATATGTTGTTGGTCGTTTGCGTGGGGTATTCAGGCCCCTCGTCATCGGCTCGAGCTCTCTTCTTCGGTCGTCCCATTTGTTTTTGGACGGAATAGTGACATATTATAGATTGCTTGAGACATCGGGTGCACCCTGACAAGTCTCCTGAGCATTTGAGCTTTCTTTTCCCTATAAATGGAGAACATATAATCAGCATGCCGGAGGGCGCCTATAGAGTGGGTTGGAACAAAACATGGGATAATATTCGTTCAAACTTACTGCACTCGTCGCAGGCAGCATGTAATTTAGGCTCCATGTCCGAGAAAGGTATACTGTCAGTCATAGCTGCCATTATAGAGCATTTCCTTCCTTCAAAAGGAGAGAGAAAGAAGCTTTGACAGAATTGAAATTATCGCAAGTCCAAAATGCGGGCAACTAGGATGGAATGGGATTTGGTCATCGTTTATCGATAAGAAGCGGTCACGGTCCCCCCAGGTCATGTGATGTGGGCGGTGAGGATTGAGTGGACTGGCCCAGCGGAGAAAAAAAAAAAGTTCGCGCGCAAGACAACCCCAAGTTCATTCCAAGTTGTACGCCAACCATGGATGCTCGCAAGGCCTCGAAGAAACGCAAGGCGGTCACTCGCGATGTTGAGGAGGAAGCAGGTGTTTTCTCTGGAGATGAATTGAGTGCCGAGAACCTCGATGGTACCCTTTCCGACAACGCAAACGACCTGTCCGATAGCGAGGATGACGACTCCGAAATTGAACTGATTGATGATTTCAGTGATGAGGATGGTGATGAGGAAGAGGAGGAGGAACTGGATAGTGATGAGATTCCTTCTGATGTCGACGAAGAGCCCAAGAAGCCTGCCGTCAAGGAATGGAAGCCCGAGGAGCCCAATGTTCGCATCGTCAAAGATGCCAATGGCAACGAGCGCTACCTTTACGACGAAATCCACCCGGACGACAACTCGGACTACTCAGACATTGAGGAGAATGCCAACACTATTGGTGATATCCCTCTTTCTTTCTACGACCAGTACCCTCACATCGGTTATGATATCAACGGCAAGAAGATTATGCGTCCTGCCAAGGGCGAGGCGCTCGATGCCTTGCTCGACAGCATTGAGATCCCCAAGGGCTGGACTGGTCTGACGGACCCATCCACCGGAAAGCCCCTGAACCTGAGCCAACAGGAATTGGAGCTGCTGAAGAAGGTGCAGATGAACGAGATCCCTGGCGAGGGCTACGACCAGTACGAACCCTTGGTCGAATATTTCACCAGCCAGCAGGAGATCATGCCCCTCAGCGCTGCCCCGGAGCCCAAGCGTCGCTTTGTCCCGTCTAAGCACGAGCAAAAGCGTGTGATGAAGCTCGTCAAGGCCATCCGCGACGGCCGCATTCAGCCTTGGAAGGCTCCTGAGGACCGTGAGGAGGTGGATGAAAACCTCATCAACTTCGACCTCTGGGCCGACGAGCAAGAGCGTCCGGATCACATCATGCATGTTCCCGCACCTAAGCTTCCACCGCCCGGATATGAGGAGAGTTATCACCCTCCTCCCGAGTATATTCCTGACAGCAAGGAGCGTAAGGCCTGGGAGCAGGCCGACCCCGAGGACCGCGAGAAAGAATTCCTGCCAAACGACTTTGGCTCCCTCCGCAAGGTTCCTGGATACGAGAACTTTGTCCAGGAGAAGTTCGAGCGCTGTCTCGATTTGTACCTTGCGCCCCGTGTTCGACGCAGCAAGCTCAACATCGACCCAGAGAGTTTGCTCCCCAAGCTTCCCAGCCCCGAGGAGCTCAAGCCTTTCCCTACCACATGCGCCACTGTTTTCCGTGGCCACAAGGGTCGTGTTCGCTCACTTAACGTGGATCCTACTGGAATCTGGCTCGCGACTGGTGGCGACGATGGTACCGTCCGTGTTTGGGAGATTCTCACCGGCCGTCAACTGTGGAGTGCTAAGCTCAGCGATGAGGATGCCGTCAATGTTGTCCGCTGGCGTCCCGGCAAGGATGCCGTTGTCCTGGCCGCCGCCTGTGGCGACGACATCTTCCTCTCCGTGCCTCCAATTGCCGACCCCGAGATCGAAAAGGCAAGCTTCGAGGTCCTCGATGCTGGCTGGGGCTACGCAGCCTCCAACCCTACCCCCAACAACCCCGAGGAAAAGAAGAGCGCACCCCCTACTTGGATCCGACCCTCTTCGACCCTCGCAGATGTCGGTGTCTGCGCTGTCATCCCTCTCCGCTACGTCCCCAAGTCGATCTCCTGGCACCGTCGTGGAGACTACTTCGTCAGTGTCTGCTCTGGCGCCTCAACACCCGCCTCCGTCGCGATCTCCATCCACACCCTCTCCAAGCATCTCACCCAATTCCCCTTCCGCCGCCGTCTCAAGGGTGGTGGTCCCCCCTCAAACCGCCCACTTCCACCCCTCCAAGCCAATCCTGTTCGTCGCCAACCAACGCTCCGTCCGTGGCTACGATCTCTCCCGCCAGCTTCTGGTCAAGATCCTCCAACCCGGTGCACGCTGGATCTCCTCCTTCGACATTCACCCGACTTCATCCAGCGCCTCGGGAGGCGACAACATCATCATCGGTTCTTACGATCGCCGTCTGCTCTGGCACGATCTGGACCTCTCGCCACGCCCTTACAAGACCCTCCGCTACCATCGCAAGGCTATTCGTGCCGTCAAGTTCCACCCTGGTGGTCGGTACCCGCTTTTCGCCGATGCCAGTGATGACGGATCGTTGCAGATCTTCCACGGTAGCGTTACGGGTGACATGCTTAGCAATGCTAGTATCGTTCCTCTTAAGGTTCTTAAGGGCCACAAGGTTACTGCTGAGCTGGGTATTCTTGATATTGACTGGCATCCGCGTGAGGCGTGGCTTGTTAGTGCCGGTGCTGATGGAACGTGCCGTTTGTGGATGTAATTATGTTGCAGGTTTTTTGGTCTTTGTTTCTGCATGATACTCTTTCTGGCGTTATTGTATGTGCATAGTATTTTCTGTATAGCCATACTTAAAAGTTGTTACAACATTCATTTGGTCTTGTGTAGAGTTGGACTTGTGTAATGTCACTGGCAGTTGAATAGGCTATGTATTGTATACTAGTAGTAGGATGCGTTCCTTTATTTCCGGCCATGTTTACATTCCCTTCATGGGGCCGCAAGAGTTCCCAAGCTCTTATTGACCGGCCAGGTCTCCGCCTTACCTAGTAACTAAGAGGAATAGATTGGCTACTCTATTCTATCTCAGGTAGGATGTTCTATCAAATGATGCTTATAAAATAGCCTCTGATCTGATTTCTATTCTTTTAGCAAAGGACTTTGTAGACCAGGCTCGACCCTATCATGTCATTTTGAACAACTGCCAGGCTTTTGCAGTTAAACTTTGGACGGCTATTGATGAGTTTGGAATGGGATTGGGGTTTTCCAAATTGGATCGTTATTTAGACCCGAGACCAGGTCACCAAACCTTCCCAACCGGCTATCAAGCGGGTTTCACAGCTAGGGCCATGAGAAGCGAATTCCCGATTTAAGTTGAATAACTTGACCATATGTTTGAAGTTTGCTATCCATCGATCAACCATGGCTATTACTCAAAGTCATGTAAATGCTTTTGCAGAAATCGCCATCTCAGTCGTGGGAGTCGTCCCGCCTCGTCAACCAAATTACGGCCACGATTATCGCGTCAGAAATGGACCAAATTGACAGTTTTCGTTTTGTACCGTGGTATTCCTTCCTCGACACACCGTGGACCTTTCTTTAGGTACAGTAATAGTATATTTACTACTACGAGTAGTAGTAGTACAATTTAGTACTCACAACTTAAGTACTAGCAACATTTCAGCCGAGATCCATGGATGCTGGTGCTGTGTAATCCGAATAACTACTACTAGTACTATATATGTGCCCAGGTGGTACCGACCTCGGGACTCAGAATATCACTGGCACTAGAATACTATTACTAGTATAGGTATAAACTTCATGTTCAAGTAAATTTCGATGCTGACCGTCTATAATCATTCATACATCCATGTAATAACCTTAGAACCCACTTGGGCAAACACATGGAATCATCCATCTATATAAATGTGGTCGTCCCATCAGCCCCAAAAACCTCAGAAAACAAAATAAGAGCTTGGTATAAACTGGAAAAGGCGTGGAACAAAGAAAAGAAACTTGCTGATATCAAATCACACCACCACTCCAATCCCTCCTCAACTTCTCATACTTCTTCATATCAGTAACACTAGGCCTGATAAACGACTTGGCAGCAACAAAGTCCTCCAACTTGATACTATCCCGCCTCTTAATAGCAGAGTAACCAGCCCTCCGCAACAAACTACCCAAATCAGCACCAGAGAGTATCCCTCACACTCCTCCGCAAGCCGACGCATAGACTCATCAAACTCAATCGGCAATTTGCGCACAAGCGTCTGCAGAATATCGACACGCTCAAGTGGCGAGGGCAGGTTGACGAAAAGAAGCGTCTCCAGACGACCCGGTCGAAGCATAGCCGGATCAATGATATCAGGCCGATTGGTCGCGGCAATAACATAAATTCCCTGGCGACTGGATCCGAGTCCATCCAACTCGGTGAGAAGAGTGTTCACGACTCGGGCGGAGGCTTCGGAGAGTGTGTCGTCGCGACGGGGTACGAGGGCATCTAATTCATCGAAGAAAATAACACAGGGTACGGATGAGCGCGCACGAACAAAAACTTGTCGGACTGCACGCTCGGATTCTCCGACAAATTTGTTCAAGAGTTCTGGTCCCTTCACGCTGATGAAGTTTGCGCGGGACTCGTTCGCAACGGCCTTTGCCAGTAATGTCTTACCGCAACCGGGTGGTCCCCAGAGCAAAACACCCGTCGGCGCGGTGATACCCACATTTGCGTAAATGTCTGGGTTCTTAATCGGCTCGACGATAGCGGTGACGAGTTCGTCGCGAATTCCGCCCAGAGCACCGATGTCGGACCATGTTGTGTCGGGGACGGTGGCGAAGCCTTCGCGCTTGGAAGAGGGTTGAATTTTGGGGAGTGCGGTGAAGAAATCCGCGTTTGAGATGGAGATTTCATTCGTTTCTTCGCCGATGGGAGTTTCTTTGGCGTGCGTTATTAGACGGCGGAGTTCGCGGACTTTAGGGCTGATGATATCATCTTGGCCTTCGCCCTCGACTTCCATGTCCATATCCATTTCCATATCCTCACCGCTGTTTGATTTAAGAATTTCCAGGTACCGCTTGATGGCGGCTGCGCCGGCGGTTGAGACGAGATCGTTTAGATCGGCGCCGACGAAGCCAGGAGTTCGCTTAGCTAGTGTTTTCAGGTCGAGATCATCTGCCAGGCGCATCTTTCGCGTTAAAGCGCGCAGGATTTGCTCTCTGACTGGTTCGGAGGGGACTGTCATGTTAATCTCCTTGTCGAAACGACCGCCACGGCGCAAAGCTGCGTCTAGACTGTCGGGTCGGTTGGTTGCGGCGAGAACAATGACTGGCTTGCCGTCTGTCTTTTCGAGAGCGATTTCGTCCATGCAGGTGAGGAGCTGGGCAACAATTCTCTTCTCCATTTCTCTCTGTGCACTCTCACGCTTGGGTGTGATTGCGTCAATCTCGTCAATGAAGATCAGGCAAGGAGCGATTCGTTTGGCCTCGTCGAAATGTTCGCGCAGCGCTTTCTCAGACTCACCCGACATACCGGATACAATCGAGGGCGCCGAGATCGAGATGAACGGCACGCCGAGCTCGGCAGCAAATGCATTGGCAATCATAGTCTTTCCGCATCCCGGCGGACCGTGAAGAAGTACACCGCGCGGCGGTTGCACATTCGATGCTAGGTAAACCTGCGGCCGGGTCATGGGCAGGATAACCAGATCACCCAATTCCTGCACCACATCGTCCAAACCGCCCAAATCCGTAAGACTAACATGAGTAGGCGGGGATCGGTCCACTGCAGCCTCAGCCTTGCGTCTTTTCGAGGAAGATTCCCCGCTGGTTCCTTTTCGTTTGGAGGAAGAGCCTGATTCGGTTTTGCGGGAGGATGTTGTTGTTGCTTTGGGAGTGGCCCATGCACCAACGATGCTCTGGTTGACGCCATTGGCTTCCTTAACAGGTGGTTCCTCAAGCCCTTCAAAGTCCCCCTCGACTGAGTCTGCCTCATCTTCACCGCACAGTCCCTCACTCTTCATGACTTCCAGAACCCGCTCCAGACTGTCCTCCAGCAACTTCTTGGGTTTGCGGTTCAGGCTGGAATTGGACTTTTTGAGCTGTTCGTATATAGCGGGGACTGAAAGGCGAATCCGGGCCTCATCAGGCTGGTCATCGATAATTTTGCGCACGACTTGGTAGACCTATACCGAGTATCAAAGTATTAGCATCGCACCGCACCGCATCGCACTGCACCACAGTCCCCCAATGGCTCAAGTCAAGTCCACTCACCTCACGGTCCAAGCCCTGACTTAAAGTCGGCCGACCTCCACGATTCCTCGGGCCCATCCTGGAATTGGCAAATGTGATATCAACCAACAACTGGTTTAACTGAGAAGAATCTCAAAAAGAAAGAAAAAAAAGGCCCGCGGAGGCCCGCGGCAGAAAAAGACGCCGCCTTCCAAATTACCAGAAATACACAAATACGCGTAATCTAACGGGCGCAATACCAGGCGGTAAACAACGTCATCCGCATTCACACTTACTCATTTACCATCTACGCATTGTCAACTCCCATGGACTACTGCTAGTTCACCATGCGAGATGGGGAATACTAACAGCTCGCATAAAATCTCGTCTCAGGATCGGTGAGTACGGAGTATTCAGATCACCCCATCACTCCCTTTTATATCGCATCTGCAGCTCCCCCATGCACTATGTTTCCCCTCACGAGACCAGTCCAGTCTCCCCGCTATCACCACCACCACCAGCACTCAACCACCAAGACTCGACTCTTCCCGAATATACCCATGAGTGCAGAAAAGCAAAACTTACATATCCCAGCGCAATCCTAGACATGAAAAACCAGCGCGACAAACTCCAACAATACCGCAAACGCATCACAATCCTAACAGACCGCGAAACCGCCATCGCAAAAGAATGTCTCGCACTCAACGACCGCAAAAGAGCCCTCCTCGCTCTACGCCGCAAAAAGTACCAAGAATCACTCCTTGACAAGACAGACGCCCAACTAGCGCAGCTGGAGCAATTAACCGGACAAGTGGAGTTTGCGCTCGTGCAGAAGGATGTCTTGTTTGGGTTGCAGCAGGGTACGCAGGTTTTGAATACTATTCATAAGGAGATGGGGGGTATTGAGGGCGTTGAGAGGTTGATGGGGGAGTCGGAGGAGGCGAGGGCTTATCAGGAGGTGGGTTCCCCATGGATCTGGATCTGGGCTTTTGCGGGGTGATATCTTGTCTTGCTAACGATTTTATAGGAGGTGAGCCAGATGTTGCAGGGTAATCTGTCTACCCAGGATGAAGAAGACGTCGAGGATGAATTGGAGGCGCTTCGGCAGGAAATTGCTGAGCCAGTGCATCTACCTGCTCCTCCTACGAAAGAACCGCCGAAGCGGGAACCTGTGCTCGAGCAGCAGCAAGAGCCGGAGGTGCAGACTCGCACTGCGCTTCCTGCGTGATATTGACGATACATGCATATATACATTTTGCGCTCACGTTGGATAACATACTTACTTTCTTGCGACGCGACTCGCATTCTATTGATTGGAAGCATATTTGATAGGCGTTGGTGGACTTCGTTCTGTTTTGCGCTGCTCTATTCAGTTCATTTTGGAGAAACTTTGTTTGATCATTGCGGTTTTTGCTCGTTAGTCGTTACTCGCATGTAGAATTCATAATACATTTGATGACTTGCATCAAGAAAGAAAGGAGATATTCATAGCGCCTCTATGCCATCATTTTCAACCCCTTGCCTTGTACTCTTACTGACCAGGCATGACTCGACCCCCAACACCACTAACACCAGGGATCGCGACATGGTCATTGGGATTTGCGGCAGCCTCGTACATAACATTAACCGGCTCACGGTTCAAAGCCATGAACTGGCCCTTGAACCCAATGTATCCGATCTTAGTCACGTCCTCGTCACCATCGCTCCAGTTATCTTCGACAAAGATTGTAATTGAAGTGGTGGTATTCCACAGCGCGCGGTTGAGCGGCAATTCGAAGACATCCTCTCCGGGAACGGGTTGTGGGACCTCGATAGTCTGGCAAGGGGAAAGTTCCGAGGCGGTGGAGAAATCGATGTCATCGCGGTTCTTGAATAGCTTCAGAGTCTTTGGGGCGCAGGGTGTAGGTGCGGTGTAGATCAGGAGAGAATGGACTTTGACTTGGCCCGTGAACCTTGGGAGGGAATGTGTTAGTATGCGGATGTGAATTGCTTTTTGCGGCGATGACGATGAGGGGTAAAAAGTGTTGGAGGAGGGGTTGTCGCGGGGCATCGCGTCGCTAGCAAATATAATTGGGGGGGATCGTGGGATGTAAGGAGGGAGGTGAATATCATACGGAATGTACATGAGCAGCTGTTCATCGGCATCGCTCTCAAGCTCTGGGGTATCGTTGAGTCGTTCGGCCCATGTTTTCTTCACGATGGCAGCTCCGCCCTTCGGAGTGGATTCTAAGTAAATGGTTGTCAGCTGGGTATTCTGTGTCACGAGAGTGTTCACAGCGACTGTGTACCGGGTCCAGGGCAGGCGTACCATTGAGGGTATTGATCTGATCAAAGTCGATCTGGGTGTAGAGGAGGGACTGAACGGCGGGGGTGATGTCGTTGGAGTGGTCGTGCTCGGCGTGACAGTGGCCACCGTCACCATGGTCATGATGGTGATGCCCAGACATGATGGGAAGGAAGTGGAAGTGGAAGTTCCCTAGGTAGTAGTTGAACCTGAACTCGAACTTAAAGGGAGGAGGTCAAGTCAGAGTCGAGTGGTACCTGAACTTGAAGCTGCGAGAAAGTTTGTTGCGGGTCTTCTCCGCATCCCGTGACGTCGATCTACCCCACCATACTACAAATATATATATACAAGGTATATTCTATTCTACCAGTAGTATATAGTATTTTACGAGTATGGATTTGTACAACAAATATAGTAGCTACCAGGTTTTATAAGTCGCTATTATTTGCCTGCTTGCCACATGATTCAGCGATATATACAACTACTAACTAGTACAGCCCAGGTATTCCGCAGCTCAATTAATGGTAAACTTCTTCTACCTATCCACAACTTAATACACTTGAACCGATGTACTTCAAGACTTGGAAATAATTGCAATCCGAATAATTTGGAGTTCTGCATGTGTATCTCGCCAATTTAAAAGATTCAAACCAGTTAGCAGCTTCCGCTCTTGAGCATGTACTCAGATACTAGATGTCGACTTCCTAAACTACCAATTGTGACCTCAGTATCATAGTACCATAGTGTCATAATGCCATAATGCCATCCTACCTGTCGATGATAGCACCTTCCATGTCTGCACTCTTTCCCTTTTGGGTATATCGTAGCCATATCCTCGTATCGCCCATCGTCTGGCTTTTCATCTCTTCACCCCCCCCCCCCCCCATTTCTCATTTCTTTCGTTCGTCGGCCGCGTAAGCTTACCCATTATTGACGCCAAATTTGGGAACTTTCATACTGTCTTGCGGCGATGTCCTAGCTCAATCGAGTGAGCGATCTGGCCGACTGAAGTTCTCGGACTTTCTGGGTGTGGTAGAGATTCGACATTTCGGACATCATAGTCAGTTCTCCCCGTTCATCATCTATCCTGATGCTGACATTTTGCTTTCCGGAAAAGTCATCATTTTCAAGACTGTAACCAGAAGATTTAAATTTCTGCAGGACGATGCCATTTCATCGCCTCGCGAGTTTGTCTCGAAAGCTTGCCGGTTTTCCTTTGCTTCAAACCTTGGATTTTGTGGTTGGCATCCGTGCCGGACAGATATTACCAATGCCAATCAACAATGTTCTGATTTAAATTCCTCAAGCATATCTTACACCAATGTCATTGGTGTCCCTCCAGCCGACCACAACGAAGTCTGAACTTTCGACGCCAGAAACCACAGCTTTCCCCACAGACAAATCCCAACTTGCTTGCCTTGCTTGGAGGTCCAGACTAGAAATCTCGAATGCTTCAAGCCATGATATCTGCTGTGAGGGCATGTTGGGGTTTCTGACACCGTTGCAAGAGGATTGGGCTGGATGCTGAAAAATAAGACCGGACCGGAGAAGTCTTTGAGTCATATCTAGAAAATCCAGGAAACGAGTATGTAGTATATCTGCTCCTAGGACCCGCTGCGCATTTTAAGCTGACAATATTCAGCCAGAACAAAATCCCGACCGCGGGTCATAAGTAAGGGTCTCTGAAGATCCAATTTTCTGATTTCAAAATGCCAAAAGTCTACGGCAAAAGGTCATGTCCGGTTACAGAATTATCGCTACAACTATATTCAATCCACACGGTATAGTGCGAAAAATTCTCGGAGAACAATCAAAGCTTTGATTGCACAGATAATAAATAAGCAGTGATGCGGAGCTCGTTCGGGGGATTTATCCAGGACGGAAAATTCAACCTGACAGGCTGGTTTGACCAAAATTGGATCAGATGAGCAGTCATTCGAGGAATTCTTGAGCAAGACATGGCCCTTCAGCTTCGAATCATTCACAGTACTCGTTCCTCTATGAATTTAGCCCAAGCGACCACTTGTTGCACGGATTAGCAGAGATCACCATAGCTTGAACTTCGATAAGCCGCTAGACGCGTCCAACTACAAGGTGTATCTGCGTGATCTTGGATCAAGATCGGGGCTGTGGGACAAGGTGCTCGGAGATCAGCTCATGTCCCCTTCTCGATTGTCAACAATGTGCATACCTTCTCCACGCTTTCCAGACTACGAAGCGAGGCAGCACTACCCATCTTAACAAGACCAAGAAGATCTCACCCGATGCCAACACTACTCACCCCGCAACGTCAGTCGCACCTTTTCAGATGCACAAAATCCGACACTAGTATATCTCCAACGCTTTTATGGCACGCTTCTTTATTGATCTTCTCTCCTGCGGCTTCGGGATGGCGATATAGCGTATCAAACCTGCGACACAGACAAGGCTCGGTTCATCCAGCGAGAAGGTCTGTGAGATATTCGAATTCAGCTCCAAAACGGACAATGATCTCCGACACCGACAAATTGTCAGAATTACGGCAAGCAATTTACAGGATTGTGAAGCAATTTCGCTGGGTTTGCCTGGGGTATTCGCGAAGTTATCTACGACCAATTCCCAGAGATGGCAGATGGCGACCTGTACAAGAATCCTTTTCTCCCCAAACTCAGATTCCACTCGCCGTCAACGATACCGGGACTGCTATTCCACTCGTATCGTCTTTCAAAGTACCTTCCGGCTCATCATTTCCAAAACTAAAGCACGGTTTTCGGCCTCGATACAGCTCTATTCTTGGGTGATTTGCGACCCAGCAATTGACCGTGCCAAGTACCCTATCAATAATGCAGTGGCCCTTGTCATCAGGGCTATCCCAGTCCTCCTCGTTTAATGAAGTAGCAGGAAACACAACTTTCCATCACTCAAGTCCGACAGTTCCTAATCTCGTCTTTAAATGGTTGGCTTCAAACCAGGTTTGGGTCGGCAAGGATATAATTTCCCCAATGTTGAGGGCAATTGATGTATTCTTTCCTGCAACACCCCTTTTCCACCACTCCGCTTGCCCTCCTTGACTAGATATCTTGCGGGCTGTTACTATTATCTGCTAGAATGTAGCAACTCAGACATGTTCACTGTTCAATCATAATCCACATCCTTGTTAAAAGCTTAGATGGTTACAGCAAGTTCAATCAACTATTATGAGAAGTTCGGTCTAATAATTCTTTTTAGCTTCTGAAGCTAGTCGTATCAATTCACCTAACTATGGGATGATCCCGAGCCATGTAAATGGTAACTATCCGACGGACCCCAGGGTTCAGCATATGGTTCATTCTTGAGCGCCTCCCGTTCACTTCATTTGGGCATTAAATACATACCACCATTTGTATTCACCGTGAAAGCATGTTGAAAGCATTTGCGAGGAGAAAATAAGGCTTTTCCGCAATCACTATGGAGCCGACCTGTTGAGTGCGGCTCGGAGAAGCATCAAACACATTTGGACTTTGTTTAAACAAAAGGGTTATAAGAAACTCGGGCTTATGAAATACGCCTTTTATGTCTTGCTATTGATTACCATAATCATACTATTGATGACAGACCCTCACGCCGCATAGCTGTATTTAGTCCAAACCGCTATATATCTTTGGGCGTCGGATAGTATCTTATCATGCATAAGTCCTCTTGAATGTCTCTCCCACTGGCAGTCCCCTGGACAGTAAATTACGTGCCCTTAGTTTTCCACGTAATTATCATTTTTCCATTACACCTTTCTATGCCCAGGTCCGGGTGACTCATGGGAAAAACTAGCAGAATCGACAGAAGGTCTTGTAGATAATATCTGAATATCTGATCAGCTTAGATATAGTTAGGATACCTCTAGCCTATTATTGAAAACACTAAATTAGCAAGACCTATATTAGTGTTTATTTTTCTCTTTTATACCTTAAGTATGGTATTTCTCTAGGCCTTAAAAGTATAATTAAATATACCTCTTTAACGGTTATACTAGATATATTCCTCTTGCTAGGGCCAAATAACGCCTTAATTTTTACCCTATAGTAGTATCTTAGTCTTCTCACGATAGTTATATAGCTAATCAAAGTAGCTACTGCTGTAATAAAAATAAAATTATATATAGAGTAGTAAATTTAGTTATATTAGATATTGTAGTGGGGATTCTGCTCTCAACATCAGAATCATGTGATTAGAGCCTTAGCAATAAGGTGTCGCTTATAGGGAGATATTTAGTTCGCGCGATAGCATTCTAGGAATACACACACCTGTCAAGTGTCACAATTCTGTCTTTTCTGTTCCTGCGGTGGTAGCGGTAACGGTTTACTGCTTATGAAGGCTCGAATGCCTTAGGAGGTTATATCTCAGTGGCCATCGCCTTGACTACTTGCCTGCACACTGCGTGTGTGGTGGTTTTGTCTCTCTGCGATCGACCCGTCTGCTTGACAGACTGCCTACGAGCATTCCCATCTTTCAATATCTTAAAATTAGTTATCCTATTTAATATTCTATTAGCACTATTAGAGTAAGTAATTAGTTCTATTATATCTTTAGAATATAGAGTAGATTACCCTTAATTAAGTAAACATTAGTTAACCTTAAAACCGAGGATAGTATAATTTCCAGGTTATAAGGCAGGGTAGCTAGGGTAGTTTAAATAATTCAAAATACAAGAGAACAGGCTATTAGCACTAAGGTTGGTATTTTATTAGATTAGAAGCTTAATAAAGTCAGAGCATAAGTATAGACTATAAGTTAATTATGCTGTAAATAATTGTTAGGCTTTAATTTGCTTGCTAGGGATATAAAGTTATTAAGTGTAGTAATAATATTATCAACATTATCTGAGGTAGGTCTTCGGACGAACTTATAATATTTCCGATTGATAATAGATAGCCTCTGGTAAGCAATAGAAGATTACCGGAATTATATAATCTCTGAGAGTACAGATTTAATTCTTATGATAGTATCCTTGAACTAGAACGCCGTTGAGGATTACTTTCGCGTCTAGATAGGTAGTGAGAAACTTGGGAGCTAACAAAATAGATAAGGAGTCAGCTACTGTCTGATTATTACTGATAAGAATGTCGAACTCTGCACTGGTGATCTGCATATGGCCATCGCGAGTACAGAATTATGACTTTCTGCCATCTTGCTGGAAGACCAAGTCCCAGCCATGATATGTTGGCAGGCCCAGAGCCGGCAGCATTGTTTAACAGTACGCTGTGAAAGTGCCTCGGTACCAGTGGGCTTTGAACTGTTCTCGAACCGCTCCAGACAGAGCTGGGCAAGATTTGGTCAGGAAAGCAGTACCCGAACGTGAAGGAGTCTGAGGTATTCTTAATTCCTATTCAAAGCAACGATTTTTAGGAAAAGCTTACTTACCGTATCTGATTGATCAATGCCGGCCGATGGCATCGGTCTCCTGGAGGGTTGGCCAGTGGATTTCCTAAAGCCTCGGGAAGATTTGGATTCCACCGCAACAGCATATCATCAAAGTGTAACACAATGGCTATTTCACTTGTTGGCCCTAACTGGGGCTCTTTTTTGACATATAGTTTGTCAAGTATCCCTTTCACTATCCCATAAAATTCCAATTCAGCGAGAAAAAAAACACCCTTTCCCATTTCTCCCGTTCATAACGTTCTAGGCTGTCACTAACCCGTGACTCGGAAGAAAGGTCATCAAGCGCGATGAGAGGGGACACTGCTGCGGACAACGAATTTGATATCATTCTCGGTCGACCAAATGTAGATGATAATACACTTTCCGACAAACAGTGTTCAGTTCTCTATACGATTATACAATAGCTTGAAGGTTATAGGGCGTTTCTTTGACACTTACCGATCCATTAGGATGCAAACATGCCAAACTTTACGTTTATGATCACATTCCCTTTCAGTCGACACTATGGGACACAAGATAAATTTTACCTGCACATGCGGTAACTGTTTTTGGTTCATACCGTAGTAAAGGAACAAGATGATAACGCCTATGCATCCCGTCCAAACACCGAGGTTTCAAATTTAACCGAAACCATGCTGAGATAATGTAATCCCTGGGTCAACAGATTTATTTCCCTGTATTCCTTTGATAGATACGCCTTTGCTAAGAATGTTTTGCCAAGGCTAGGGTACAACTTCTGTTTTTTGGCACCTTGAGGACTTCGATAAAACGAGTATATATTTACATTTTACACGATCTAACTTGTGATTCTGTGTAAAGTTTGGCTCGAAATGGCGTTAATCAAAACACAATAAGAATCTCTTTTCTGGCCCCACCGAGAAGGCCTGAGCGCAGAGTATTCCTTTTGCGGACCATACAAAGTTGAGGGCCGCCGTAAACGCGGATTGTACATGAAATTGACCAGGGTTTATTGCCTAACAGTCAAAGCGGATGGTGCAATACTACATGGGGAGAAGTACACAGTTTGTCCCATAATCTACATTCCTTGCCTGGAAGGCCTTTCAAGACATGGGACATTACCTGATTATCTGGTAAATTCTTTTCAGATTTACACTCCTCTTATTTACATTATAGAAGATTTCTTTTTTCAATTGTGATAGTAACACACAATACAGTTCTTGAATACTCGAAGAAGCTGTATTATAGACATATCAGGGCAGGGCACAATAAACAAAGGAACAGTTAGAGCAGCATCGAGTCCGATTCCTTCCTTTTTTGCGTGACGTGCACCATCAAGTTGGTCGCTTCGCGAGCTAAACGTTACAGTACAATGTTATGTACGATGTCCGATGGAATTGTAGACTAATCTATTACCAACTCAAAAACTTGAGAAGTATTCAGTTCTTACTCAATATTGATACTGCTGATGGTTCTCGAAATGAGCTTAATCTCGATCGGGTGCCCATCTCAACATGTGGCAGCATTTTAACCTCGGGTGGAATTTCAATGCTTTTAGCTCATTACATTTCTAATGTTCAAAGACTGACACTGGCCAACTTTGGGTATTGTAATCGATCACGTTCGGGGATGTTCTAGGTTGAATTCGATACCTCGGCAATTAAGGGATTGAATACAGGGGCAATTTAAACCAGCCGATCTATACCTTCTTCCTCTCGGATTTTTCATCACAACTACTTCTCATAGTTCGGCTGAAGAGCAGAGAACAATGGACGGTTCCGATTTGCATCCAAAACTTGACTTCGATGTCATCATTATTGGTGCGGGAATATCGGGACTTAACACTGCGTATCGCATCCAACACGAACTCCCAAATGATAGTTATGCAATTTTGGAGGGTCGGAATTCCATGGGAGGAACTTGGGATCTTTTCCGATACCCAGGTATCCGATCGGACTCGGACCTCTTCACCTTTGGCTTCTCGTGGTATCCGTGGACCTCTCCAAACCCAATTGCAGAAGCATCAGCCATTAAGGACTACATGACGGATGCCGCTGTCCGATTCGGCATTGACCAGAAAATCCTTTATCAACACAAAGTCAATGTGGTTCACTGGTCCGGAACCAAACACAGGTGGTTTCTTGATATTAGCCACCTTGACAAGTCGAAAACATTTACCGCGCGTTTCATTGTATTTGGTACAGGGTATTATGATTATCGACAGCCTTTACATGCGGAAATCTCAGGCGTGGAAAAATTCAAGGGCATGCTAGTCCACCCTCAATTTTGGCCGCAAGATCTCGATTGCGAGAACAAGCGTGTTGTTGTCATCGGCAGTGGCGCGACGGCAATAACAATTGTCCCAAAACTAGCGGAAACGGCAGGGAAAGTGACATTGCTACAGCGTAGCCCTTCATATATCATGTCAATTCCCAATCGCACTAGCCAAAAGAAGAATTTCTTGATGCGATTGATTCCCAACGCCGCCTCTTTAAAGCTTACACGCTTCCTTAAGCTTCTCACCTCTCGAATCTTTTTCCTTTTTTGTCGCGCTTTTCCCGGCGTGGCCGAGCGAATGCTCCGTCGTGGTACCATACGACAGTTACCAGCAGACATTCCGTACAATCCCCACTTCAAACCAAGGTATAAACCTTGGGATCAAAGGTTGTGTGTTTGTCCTAACGGGGATTTTTACAAGAGCCTGCACACTGGGAAAGTGGAGATCAAGACGGACACAATCAAACAAGTCACAGAGTCTGGTATTGAACTGAGCTCCGGAGAAGTCTTACATGCGGACATAATCATCACCGCGACAGGGCTCAAGTTACAATTCGCTGGTGGAATTCCGATATTTATTGACGGCAAAAACTACCACCTCCACGACAAATTCATGTGGAAAGGAATGATGATGGAGGACCTTCCTAATGCCGCCCTCGTGATAGGATACACAAATATTTCTTGGACATTAGGTGCTGATGTGACTGGTATATTTGTATGCCGTCTCCTGAAGCATCTACAGAGAAAGAAATATTCAACTGTCATTCCACGAGTGCCAGAAACGATGCATTTGAAACCGCAGAAGATGCTTGATTTGAATTCGACCTACATCTCCAAGGCTGAGAATGACCTGCCCAGAACGGCTAATACTGGGCCATGGCAGCCTAGAAAGAACTACTTTTGGGACCTTATCAGCGCAAAGTATGGCCGGATAGAAGAATCATTAGAGCTCATACCTTGAGTATTTTTATCCCGAAAGAGGCTAAGGCTCATACGGGGATAAACGGAGGCTATATTGGTAGCGCCTTACATGCCAGTACATCTGGACATAGTTATTTCGTTTCCTTGCGTTGACATGTAAGAAGGCAATAATCAAGTCAACTCATGGGGGGTGCCATGCAGATGGTATGATGAACATATGTCTATATTGCAAGAATTTCATACTTCTTTTTCTAAACAATTTGTTTTATATTTCTGGTATCTGAAGATTGTTTCAGCTCGTTGCTATGAAATGCCGCCAATCTTCATCAGTCTCGTGAAAATGAACAATTTATGTCGGCATTTCTCAGATTGCATTCCAGGAATAAATCGTCCTTCACAACTAATAATTACAGCATATATAGTAAGGAACAAATCTACTACTTTGCTCAAAGGTTTTCGATTTTTTTCATGTTTCATCAACAGCCCAAAGAACATAGGGTTGTCACTTATTGTTGTAATCTGGTATGGCATGTACCTGGAACTGGAAGATTAACAAAAGCACCAGACCGTGACTGATGAGCCTTGGAATTTTATCAATGATGGATTTTGCCAGTTAGTGTAACTATAGTTCTATATTCTAAGGTCCATCAAAGTCCTCAATTTGGTACTAAGGAGGGCTAAGGAGACCAACATTGGCAGGATCGCAAAACACCCTCACCGCAAATATTTCAGAGAAGTTAAGCTGCGGAACAATTTTTAACCCAAATTAGAATTTAGCCGAGGGGTCAATAGCAACCTCTAACAGTAAATCCTGCGTTCAGAGTAATAAGTTTGATGATAATTTCCGGCTCGCCCCGTCCAAGATAAGTTCGTACTTCTGAAGGTTCGCATAGTTTACCTGAAACAGGGTCAGCTAAATATTATTATGTAGAAGGCAATGGGAACTGGATTGAATGGTTTTACTGTCTCTCCCACCATGAATGCATGGGGAAACTTGAGGACAATGGATCCTGTCAGTGAGCTACGCCGGAGAGTGAGAGCGGTATTCAGAGAACAAATCCATTCAAACTGCTTTAGTACAACCCACAAAAGTGATTAGACGCGCAGTTCATTCTTGCAGGACAAAACAATTCTGAGAGAGGATGTTATCACCAGGCAAGAACCGTGGAGGACTATCAGGCCCACTGGGATTTTGTGCTTTTGTCACCAAAATGATTGAGAATAAAACCACTTTCCAAGATTATCAAATCTTAGGTTCGATCCTGAAACTCCGACATGTGCACCAAGGCAAAATTGGGCACCCCCGGTTGGAGGATTCAACTTATCATTTCGAGGGATCAGGATAAATGATACCAATCAACTGGCTGTAAACGAAATATCGAGACAGGGAAGGTTTTTATTCCTGTAGCCGCGCTTTCTGTATTTCTAGCCTGCATTTCGGACGCTAGTGAAATGTACGTTATGATTCACACCTGCGTTATTATTCCTTAGTCCTCTCCAATACGAAGGCCCACTCCTCGGAAAGGAAGGCTAGTTGTGGATCCATTTTACTTTCGGTTCTAGTTTTCCCATGGTGTTGCGGAGCGATTACAATATCAGTATGTACGTTACCCATGATTATATTATCTAATAGTCTATTACGATATACTACCGATAATTACATCCTTCTATACTGCCACATGAATAAAGCTACCTGACCGAGGCAAAGTCCTGTGTCTCTTACGTGGGCCGGTCGGGGGAGGGAAATGCCTGTTTCTGCTATAAAAATGTAGCTACAGACTTCATTATGTATAACCATTTCATCAAGTGAATTCCATCATGTCTTCTGAGCCAATTCACAATATCGTCACCCTTACTCCTCGAGATGATAAAGTGGTTGATGTAAGTCAGAAAGAGCTACATGTTGATGAAAACATCCAATGTCTCTACATGATTTACTAACAACATAATAGTTAATCAATGCGTTCGGCAAATTTTCGCAATATGTTCAAGCTCATGAGCCAGAAACATTGGTCTACTACGCTGTTCAGACTATTGACAAAAGTCAATTGGTGATTATTGAAAAGTCAGTCAATGCTTCCTCTTAAAGAATATATGTCCCTAATATTTAGGCTATAGATATTCGAATGAGGCTGCTTTGAAAGCCCATGCGCAATCAGAAGCTTTCAAAGAGTTTGGAAAGGCGATATCAGGGACCCTTCAAGCACCTCCAGATATTAGTACGTCCACGTTCTCAAGTGGATTTGAGGCTAGGGCTCGAATTTGAATTGCAGTTTTGTTTGTTTGCCGGATAATATATCTTATCTGAGTTCTTCCCAGCAATTATTTTGAGCCGAGATTTAGGACCATAAATCGAACGAAATATGGAAAACCACTGTTTCTCAGTATCTTCGTTCATAAAAGTGTCTCAAAGGTGCGCCTTTTGCTATGAGAAGTCAAAATCCACAGCTCTTTGCCCACATTTGAGTTCTTGGTGATTAATTGAGGTCGCGTAAGTGTGTGATTGATTATTTACCATCCACGAGATAGACCACATCAATGCTTTCATTCCTTGGCGTAATACTTGACCTTTTGTTGAATGGTTGAATTTGAGACATGAACTATCAAAAAGGCAACAGGGAAGTTAAGTGTTACGGGACAAGTCGTCAGCACCTTGCGGGAGTGACGACAGCCAACCATGCCCTCGGAAACGACAACGCTTGCAGGCGTCACGTGTAACCGATCAGATCACCAATTAGACCTCGCCAAAACCCGCCTGAAAAGTTGGGTTGGGCCTTAGCCAGCAGACCTGTTGAAAGGGGATACCTATATTGACAGGTAGGTGATGATTGTTGCTAGGTACAAGTTGGAGGACAGTCAAATAGATTTATGATATGCACATAGTCCCCATCCATGTGACTAGTTAAATAGCCGTGATATTCAATACTCGCACTCGTTGAGTACCTTCGCCATGATGATTGTCAGAGATAATCTAGCATGGTTGCTAGGTCCCATTAAAACCTCTCAAAAACCCATGGTTAAAAGCAAAGGAGAGGGTGATTGCATGCCCGTCCTTCGCTTCTATGTAGAAAGCGGCGGTTGATGAAGATTACTCGATGCCGAGACCCTTTCGAAACCATTCAAATGTTTCTCATGCAAGGGGTTCTGTGGAGCCAATCTGCAATTTTTTCCATCGTGGGTATGTATTTGAGTTCCACTGTGCTGGTGCCTTGAACCTCTCCTGCCATTTTCGTTTTATATCCACGTGCTTTGTCCGTCAATGGTATTGAGGGCTCGAAGCCAGCGCAATGGCTCCTTCATTGTCACCACATATGATGACCGCACTTCCCTTTGGCTCATGTTTAGTTCGTGAAGGAGCTTCCTCAACCAGATAGCTTCCTTGCTTGCGTCTGGCCCATGAATTCTTCCTCACAGATTGACAGGGCAACCATGCTTTGCCGCTTAGATTGCCAGCTGATCGTTCCACTTCTGATGTTAAACAGATATCCAGTTCTTGATCGACAGCCAGCCGAATCCGCGTCTGTGAAACCACGAAAACTCTGGAACTGCCCTTTGTATGCCACATTGAGTGACTTCGTACCCTCAAGATATCGAAGAATTCGATGGGCAGGCCTCAACTGTTGCGGACAAGGATTTGCTAGGTATCTGCTCGCCATCGAGACTGCATATGCAATGTCTCCATCGACATTATGCAGGCTTAAATTAATCTCCCAAACCAGAGAGAGCTTTTTTAAGAATACACATATAAGCTTAAGTGGAAGATACCAGCTTTCGAAAAACACCGACAACCAAAAAAACTCCAAGCGAGCAGATGATCCATGAAAATTAAGAAACACAACTTCTTACTACGGTTAGTATCGTTCTTAATCTCGATGCGACCTTCAAGAGAGATGAAAACGAGTGTGTTCGAGACGAGTGTTGTGAAAACCAGTGCAAATGAAGACTGCATGAATGATGTGGGTGGGTAGTCATCTTGTCAGGTGCCCATGACGCATGTTTTGTTCGGCGTGTGTCCCAAGAGCCTTCTAAGAGGCTCCAACAGCCTTATATATAATACAGATGACGCAATTGTTACCGTTCATGCAAAAAAAATGGGTTGACAGGTGAGCAAAAGAAAGGGGAATCTGAATTCCGGCACTATCTACTAAGCCCATTAAATGGACGTTTTCCTCTATAACATTTCTCAATCTAGAGCATGACACTCCCAGAAGCACAAATATAGGAAAATGAGGAAAAACTTAAATCCGTGACATCCCCTGCTTCGGCCTTAAAATCGTCTTCTGTGTCATACTTGCCAGCAACCGGCCATCACCATTGAAGACCCTCCCCTCGCTGAGCGCTCTAGCGTTCCCAGCTCCACAAGTCTGTCTCTCACTAACATGCCAATTCCGTAAATCGATTTCATGCGTTAAGAGCCGCAGTGCAAAGTCGAGAGTCGCACAGGCACTGGCCTGAGATAAGTTGTAACCGGAATGATTGGCTGGAATATATGCAAGCCCGCGGTCCATACAGAATGCAAGGGCAGCGATTCGATCAGCCTCGCTGGAAAGAGTCTCATGAATACGGAACCTCTCAGCTGAAACTATAGATGAAACATCTGTCGCATCCCGGTCTTCATAGTGCGGATGGAGCTCCATCATTGTGTCGAGAGTCTTGTATAGTCCGGGTTCTTGCGTTTCCTCAGTCGCCGTTTCTGCCGCCGGAGAGGGTGGGACGGAGAGCTGTGGGCTAACAGAATAATTTACCATCTCTCTGGGTTCATCGATATGGAAATCGGCCGTAGCGATCAGACAAAGTTGTTCGGTTTTTCCTTCCAACTGGAACACGCGAAGGTGTCTTGTTTGGAAGGTTCGCGTGTCGCGGATACGTTCGAGGCGGCACATGAGCGTCTTGGATGGCCTGGCCGGGCGCACGAAATAGCCACTGATGGAGTACAGATGCTGGTCTGCTGAGACAGTCGCATAGGCGGCGTTGACTGCGATAGCTAGAATGTTGCCGCCGTAGGCCCAGTCGGCCAGCTCGCCCATGCAGATAGGAGGGACGGCAGAGCGATAGCAGTCAGTATCGGCGGGTTCGATGGCAATTTGATCCTTGAGCGACGGCATGCTGTCTCTTGTTCTGGTATCACAACACGGAGGCGAAGATACCAAGCTTACACCGGCATATTAACCGAGCTAAATACTCCGATGAAGACCTCCCATAAGGATGTTGTAATCAAACAAAGTTCCGAGGTACGAACCTGAACGTGACTTTCAGAGAGGATCTATGCCAGTTCGACATGGCTAACCTGCTTTACCGAGGGTTGCAAGGCACGACTGACGTCCGTCTTCCTAAAAGTAAGGGCGCGACCGAGGATAACAAGACCACAGAGAAGCCCTGGAGAAATAAACATACGAGAATTGAGCATATAGTGGAGAACTCACGCGAAAAGAATCCCTCGACGTTCCAAGACACAGGGCTAGATACCATCACTCTCTGCTTTTTTACTTGGATCTCAGAAATTTTTCAATAATCTGATGGGATGATATATATTCCCGTAGAGCCAACATGTGGTATCTAGGCAATCATTCGTATCTCACAATCTTACGGAAGAAGAATCTTTGCTTCTGGCGCTTAACGGGGCAAAATGGAAGGCAAGACAAGAACTATATCTTGGTCACTGGCGAGAGACACTTAGGGAGAACGTTCAAGAATGCCCAGATTAAGTTTTTACTTCCATATAGGTGCGAATACAGGCTTTGGACTTGCTATCACCACCGCCCTGGCACAGAAACCATATTACCATGTTATCGCGGCAGTGAGGTCTCTGGACCGAGGCCAAGCGGCGCTCGATCATGTTCGAACCTCCGGGCCAGAAGAGAGCTTGTCACTACTTCCACTCGACACTACAAGCACTGCCTCTATTGCGTCCGCAGTAGAGATTGTTACCAGATAATTCGGCCGGATCGACGTCCTCATCAATAATGCAGGCCTGATGTCTAAACTCGATACACTGCAGGCCCAACTACCCGAAACATTTGTGCTGAATACTTTTGCACCTGCCTTGCTGACAGGAGTACTTGTGCCCCTGTTACAGAACTCGGAAATCCCACGTGTGATCCAAATATCGGGAGATTTGGGATCTATAAGCCTCAAGAGTATTCCGGTTTCTCGAGATTACTTGATGGATCACATAGTGTATCGCATGAGCAAGGCTGCTCTGAATATGATAACCGCCTGCCACGCTGTCCAATTCAAGTCCTGGGGGTGCAAGGTGTGGAGCTACAATCCAGGTTTTGTAGTTACGGATGCTTGGGGAAAGAGTGAAGAGGCAAGAAAGGCGATGAAAGAACCAGGGGCTGGAGACCCCAATGAGGAAGCACGCGGTGTAATGGATATCGCGGGAGGTAAGAGAGACTCTGATAATGGAGGATTCTAACACATTAATGGGACACACCCCTGGCGATAAGACTCGAAGTTGGCTTAACATGAGCATCAACATCCCCGCCTGTATTTTCGAGGAAATGACTTCTCCATACTCTGTCATTGCATTTTCAATTTAACATGTCGTTATACGCAGTGTTGAATAATCAGATACATCGTAGACAGAGAGCAAGAGGCCTATGACACTAGATACGATTCCAACGGGCTCTCGGCCGACAAATGGTTGTACTGAAGTTGAATGTGTCAGCGCTGAACCAAGACCGTGCATCAAAGAGCAGCCCTTAGCCTTGCTCCTACTAGCACGAGTATCTTGATGACAGACCCCACACGACTTTCGTACGCGCTCGTGACTGAGAAGTGCCAAAATAAAATTTGCTAGTGGTTGACACGGAAGCGTCAACTCTTCTATACAACCTGTATTCTTCATACAAGTACACCTACGTCGGAGAGGATGGCATTATGGTCCAGGCGTCTATTCCGCTTTGATCGGCGGAGCTACATCTCTAGATATGACTTGGAGAGGGGAAAGGGTGGCCTCTGGACTGTGTACACTGTTGTAGGTTGTATTTCATTAATATGTCTGCATTGCTAGGTGGACTGGATCGACTACGTCGAAATTGCATGTTGTGATCTGGTATTGTAATCATTCAAACCTCGGCAATTCAGCACACCATGTTGACTCCACAACATTCTTCAATTATTTGCAGTGGATCCATGGAGTTAGTTTCATCAATCAATCCAAAACAACCGCCGCAGGATAATGAAACAGACAACCTCCGGAATAGTTGCTCTATGCTAACTCAGCAAGGCTGGCCGAGCCCGTCCCGTCAAGCCCATATATTCTAACTAAAGCGCATGCGCATACAGGCTCTTCCAATATTTGTTTTATTTGTAACAGACCCATATATAAAACACATTCTATTTATCTAGAAATTTATTATTTGGTAGGTGGAGAATTGCTAAGTAGCCTCGGTGTATACATACGATTACAATATCTCGCATACTTGTCCGGGAACCTTGAGCCCAACCATTCCACACGGATTTCATCCTTTATTAGATAGCAGCCCCATTCGCCAATTGCAGAAGGCCATTATCAATAATGACAGTCAAAGAAGCTCACACGATTATGACTCAATTACAAGAATTGGAATTAGAGTATGCATTTGCCAAAGCACGTCGAATGGCTCTACTTCAGGTTTGGTAAATCATATCCTACTTTGTTAGCATAATCATCAATGCTGAATTACTCTAACGGTATCTTTGTCTTAACAAATAACAACAGGCAGGAGATCTTGTCAAAGCTTTTCGCTGTTACAGGCCAGAACAACAGGCATAATACCGGCCAGTACGCTGTTGATACGGAAATTCTCTTAAAGGAGGTACAGTCCTGCTCCAAGATTCAGATTATTATCTATTAGTAGTTATAAGAATAAATCTTCTATATACAGGGTATATCTCCAAAGTTACTTAACTATATTAAATAGTTATACAAAGCACTGAGTTTCTTTACTAACTTATCATTATTTAGCCATACCCGCTACCGCTGTACTAACAAAATTACTGATAATAATCTTCTCTATACCTTAAAAGATAGTCTTACCAAGATTCTGAATATTATCTACAGAGATGAGTAGTAAAAGCTTACAGATATTGAGAAGTATACCCTCAGTATATTCTATAAGAACTTAGGCGAATATACAGGAATCCTGCTTAATATACTTCTCTCTGTAGCAGAAGGATTGAAAGACAGCCTATACTTTATATTAGAACCAGTTAAGTAGACAATCTACTATAAAGAAGTTGTAAGGCTTACTGTAATAAATAATTAATATATATAAGTCTAAGTTGATTCTAAGCTTTCTAATTTTATAAAACTAGTAGTATAACAGATTTTAACTAATGTCTTAGATAATCTTATAATAATAAGTCTTTAATAAGTCAGATATCTATTTCTTCTATATCTATCTATATCTGTCTAACCAGTATAGTCTTAAGACTCTTAGCCTTCTACTCTCTCTTATGCTTGTTATTTTCTAAATTTTATAGAAGTAGTTACTTTAATAACTTATACTTCTATATCCCTCCTTGCTTACAGTCAAACTTATCTACAATATACCAAACCTAAGAATAAATCTGTATAGTTTTAAAAGAAACAGCCTACAGCCGTAGTATACAATACCTAATTTCTAGTCAAAATAGAGACTAGGGGTATTATTAGTTGAACTGTTCAGAGGCAAGGTACCTGGTTCACGTAGGAATAGGTATCTGCCGCAGAGATACGACTTAATGACAATCGGACCAGAGCCATATAGGGGGAAAGAATTAGAAGAGATAGACTTCGATATAGAAGAAATCAAAGCGAGAGGTGTGGTCACATACCCATTTTCTCAGGCGAAGTCTGGGAATTTCATATCAGATGGCTGACTATATTGAGAAGGGACCTCATGCGACGATGCGGATGTTCCCATGCAACACCCTGAATGATTATAGGCATATTTCTCTGGGAACTGGGACCCAGGCAGGGTCATATCAGACGGATCCCTAGGTAGTGACAAGGTCCGTGTGCTATTTCAGCTTGTTAGAAAGGATCACAGAGGGGGAATTTGTACTGGATCACGATTATTTCATTCCTGTTCAGTCTTATTAGAGCATGTCAAAATACGAAAATCGCAACCGACTATACATGGACTATTATCTTTCCTGTGGTTCTTCCAGACTTGATCCGGTCAATCGCGCTAGGCATGTCCTCAAACTCCAAGACAGAATCAATAACAGTCCTGACTTTCCCAGCCGCCATCCATTCGGATATCTGCTGGAAAGCTGCATGGTTACTTTTTGCGAAGTATGCCTTGAACTTAGCTCTTCCACCACCAAACATAGAAGGACACATCGTGTTTTTACCAATTGTTTTGAGTAATGCACCGGATACCCCACCGGGGACCATGACAAACATCCCCTCTTGGGTCAAGAAGTCGTCCGAGGCCTTGTACAGGTTCGTTTCTTGCCGGTATGCATAATCGACTACCAAATCGAAGACTTTGCCTTTCCCCTTCAAGGTGGGGACCAGATCCTCCGTTCGATAATCAATCACCTCGTCGGCACCGAGCTCCTTGCAAAGATCAACCTTGGTGGTTGAGCAGGACACCGTCACCCTACAACCGTGGGCTTTGGCAAATTGGATGGCAAATGTTCCGACGCCTCCCGTGCCTCCGTTGATGAGCACTGAATCCCCCGGTTTGGAGTTTAGTACTAAGCTCTCGTACGCTGTGATGGCTGCTGTGCCAACCCCCGCGGCGTGGTCCCAGTCAACGCAAGGTGGTATCGGCACACAGCCTTCAATTTCGGCTACCGTGTATTCGGCCATAGAGCCTGCATAACCCTTTTGCGTATCGACTCTGCCGTAAACCCGGTCGCCCGGCTTCAGAGAAGTAACGCTGCTGCCGATCGACACAACTTCCCCGCTGAAGTCCATCCCAGCGATCGGATGGGGTTTGACCAGAGTCCTGGCCAACCCGCCTAGCTCCGCGAAGGTTGGGTCCGCTGGGTTGACTCCCACGCTCTTGACTTTGACAAGAATTCCGTTGGGTTTCAGGGGATTGGAAGGGTAGGGCTGGTCACCCACAAGCATCATGCCTTTCTCGAGAGGCAGCTTGGGGGAAGAATGTACCCAGGCCCGCATGGTGCGCTTTGTTGCTGTCATATTGGTTCGAATTTGGGATAGTCAGGATGGCAGGGTTCCTCAAAGGGACCTTGCAGAATTTTATGCGTAACTTGTTCCTCTGCCTCCCTGAAAGACTATTCTCGACACTTTTATATGTCAGCTGAAAGCCGTCTTGGCATCACAATCCTCCGGCTTCGGGTGTTCCAAATCCCTGATCAGCTGGTCTAGCAACAGCCAGAATGTTTTTGAGTTCCCGCTTCAGCCGGTCTAGATATGAACCCGACCCACTGGCTGGCGGACAAATATTTAAAGGTTATACCGTAAAGTCCGATAACTCCAGACTCACATGCCTCGATATTCTCCAAAAGTTTCCAAATTGCTGTGATGTATAATGATACCCGTGAGGTTGGTACTTAATTCGCTACGAGGAATACAGCCTTTGAGAAATTTCTCGGCGTTCGGACTTAGCCTAGGTATTGTTTGCCATCTTCTCAATATAGCGCAAGGCTGATCTACCGGAGATAGCAAGAATGGGAGTACTCAAAGCCATGCCAAGATTCTGGCGTAGTTGGTTTGAGTACCATTTAACTCCAATAGCTACGGATGACACCTCAACTCATGTTGGTTGCTCTAGCATTGACCTAATTGACCAAAAAATCTAGTTCGTAGTCGCCTTTGCGCCCTAGATGTGCCACTCCCCGCGGTTGGCAGCATTTCCGATCATGTGATTAATAGGAGAGACTCTAGCGTTTTTGAATGAAGCCCACAAGGAACGTTGCATCAAAGCGGCATTCGGGGATCAAACTTTTCTCAATATTTCAAGAGTTTCTTTGCCACGACCCGACATCTCCGTATGCCTCCTGAGGTGACTGTTATTGCGACTGAGCGTAACATTATAAGTCGATTTCACCATTCCATTAGTTAACGTAATCCACGGCCACCTTGGCCACCCTTCCCCAGTAAAAAATCCGAATCAGAATATCTCAACCAAAACGCATCAATTAATCCTAAGCTAGCAATTTTTACGTTGATTGAACCTATGTGCAATTCCTCCACATCCACTACACGTAGGCGGAGCCATCTTGCGTGGCTGATCCTGTCCAACAGGTAAACCGCCCTGCTCATGCGATACTTCCATATGTACTTCTGCTGGCAAATTCAGTTGGTAGTTAGCTGGAGGCATTATTCTACGCTTAAGCCCTCTTCGCGGGGTATCTGCCTAGTTGACCGATTGCGCCTTTTGACCACCTTCTCATTTGCTGCGCGGTCTTGTTTGAATTCTTGGATTTGCAGTGTTTGGTTCGTCTGTGCTTCCTTATTTGGTTTGTGGGACCTATTCGCTCCTTCAGAAGAAGAGGGAAGAGAGGTGTTGGGGGAAAGACACGTCAACGACCATCGTTCGTTGGAGAATAGTGATTGCTCTTTCTAGTCGCTCATTACGCTCAATGAATTACCCTACAGACTACGGAGCTTTCAGGGGAATAGGGATCCTGTGCGATGAAGCGGTGTTTTTAACCGGCTTTTTTTTCCCCTATCTCTTCCTTTTCCTGTGCTTCCTGAGTGGCCAAACTGAGATAAGAACTACCCTTTTGGTGGTGGCTGTCTTTCTCTCTGCTTCCTCTGGTAGTTATCCTATCGTGCCTCGACTTGTCTGTTCTGCTCAGACCACCGTTAGCGCAACTCCCTGTTTATTAGTTAAAACTTACACGCGGGGGATGAATCATCTACTTTGTTCGACCCTTTCGGTAAAGTCACCAAGAGCTATGATCTTGGGGGTTGTTGAGGGTCATCCGCAGCGACCCTCAAGAGACTCGAATCTAGGTCCCAGATCTTGCAGGTGAGGGTCATGACAAGGACATAGTACTGCGAGCAACTGCAAAGCTATTTGGTCTTTCTTGTGGATCTTACATTACCATCTGAAGTCAAGGCAAGCAAATTTCTCAGGCCTCACACCCCGCTCGCCCGTTTCATCAATCATCTCTTCCCTAAACCGGCTGCCGCCGACATCTGATTTTCACGACGGAAGAAACGAGTATTTTTTTCCCTACCGAACAGACCCAGGAGGTTGATGGGAATCGCTACTAAAACAACAGCCAACACCGCTTGGGCAATAAGCGATGCCTTCATCTCCCCAGGTGGATTACCATTGGGATTGGCACCGGCATTAAGGCCATAAGTGATAGGGACCGCAATGAGATTGCCCACACACCAGACAAACGTCGCACAAAATTCTTCTGGGACAGGGTAAAGCATCTCAGCCATGAGTTCTAGGGCGACTGAAACAAAAATCGATCCACAAACGCCCATCACCGTGCCGACAGTGAATGCGAATACCCGGCTCTGCACTTGAGGGATCCATATGAAGATAACGTAGCCGATTGTCGATCCGGTCGCGGTGATTTTTGCGGTGGGGACGTGCAATTTCCACTTGTCGATGAAGGGTGCTACCAGGAGAGCGATACTAACGCCAACCCCTGAGAACAGCCCAGCGGTAAGTCCAACATCGGTGGCCGGGAACCCATAGGGTGTCAGATACAGAAAGAGCAAAGTTGACCATGTGTTGAAGAGTCCCAGGGAAATGATAAAAGTGATCGCCAGGAGCCAGAATTCGAGTGATTTTGCAAGAAATCTAATAGATTCGCTTCGAGAGAGCCGCTGAGAGTTCGATGGTGGTTCAACGTTATATGAGGCAGGCGTGGGCGGATCTGCTGGCACAAAGATGGCAAGAGCAGAAGTCGCTGTGCTGATAATGCTTACGATGAGGACGGCTCGAGGGAGAGAATCTACCGTTGGCGTCATGTAGGGTGTTGTGATTGATCCTAGCATGGATCCAATCGTAGTTGCGAGGGAACCGATCGTTGTAGGCAGAACCCTCTGATCAGGATTGAACCACATTTTTGAATAGGACATAGGCAGAGGGACAATGAATATTTGAGATACTCCCAGCAACGCCTGTCCTGCCATGGTAATGGGATATGAGGAGATGACAACTCCTCCGTAGCGCAACCAGCTCCCAACAACGGTACCGCTGATAGCCACGAGCAGACTTTTCTTGATCCCATATCGATTGATGAACCAGCCGGAAACTAAAAACGGTGCAAAGGCCAATGAATAGACATTTGAGAACCAATTGATTGCCGTGGTGTCGACACCGAAGCGTTCCTGGGCCAGATCGTTGACCATAGCAAAGGACAACCAGGCCCATGTGAGCACCGCGTTGCTGAGGAATATAGACGCCAGCCCATAGAAACGACGCTTATACAACCTCGGCGGTGAACCCACAACCTCTCCCACCGAGGTGGTAACAACCGCCTCAAGGTCTGGCATAACCTTCTTCACCGACCAAAAGTCTTTCATGTCGTGCATACTTGAGCGAGACATTGGGTTCAGAAAATACAGATTCATGGAGTAAGATGCGAGAACGAGGCTTTTTATAGCTCTGCTTCGGTTGATCATTGGAGCGCGAGGAGGGATTCGGAGTCAGGGTGAGACTTCAAGGCGAAGCTCCGGCGGGTACCACTATGCTCGAACTGTGAGGCCAATCGTGGTCACAGCGTCCTGCGCGAGGTCAATTTCCCCGGATTTGAGAAAGTCTGTTTTGACTTTTTGGCGGAAAGCAGCGAGGCTATTGGTCCAGTGCCACGAGTATACAAGACGCCGAACTTTGTCCTCGGAGACTCCGGTTCGGACCCAAAGAGACCGGCCAGCCTGGCCCAGGCCAGCAGTCCTTGCATGTCAGCGACTGCGTTTGTTATCATAGTTTCTAGCACATCCGGGCCATGGCACAACAACCTCCGGATCGGATGTCCTCTAGGGCTGCGTCGCTTCGTGGATTGCCGCTGCCTGGCCAGGAGGCGATAACCTCTGCGTAATGTTTAATTGAAGAGCATTGGGAAAGAGAGCAAAAGCCCATCATTGGGCGAAGAAGAAAGAAAGTGTGTAGCTGAACATAAATAATAGTTGCAGAGAAAGAAAGCAAAACAGACGCAGAGCAGCACAGACGAGGCCCAGCTCCCAGAGTGGGAAAGAGGGATCCACTGGAGCAACGCTCGGAAATAAGGCATGCAACCTTACGTGCCTGAATTGAGTGGGAGTCAGGCGCCCACTACACCTCAGGTAACCCACAGAGATGGCAACGACAACTTTGGGAGCCATCCCTTGTCATGGTGTTTATTCGCTGCTTTTGCTTGCATCCAAATACCAAAATGGCTTCGGTTAATTTACTCAATGACTTGCTATCTTTGAAGATGGAAGAGTCCACAGTATCCAAGTGTATGTATATCCAGTGTCCCATAGCCGGATAGTACTTCGATTGGATTTCTGCCGAACATCATGCAGAAAGCGGCTGGTAGACTCCTGTCATAGTTTGCCAGCATTGCTGAAGACCCATCAGCAGAGCTTGGAAATTCGGCGACAGGGGTATCCAACAACTAAGGTTTCCGGCGGCGTCAACTGCGGAGCATGTCGTGGTTCGAGATAACCAGGAGTAAGAGCAAGCGAGCGTCTGGCACTCACGAAAATGATCGGCTCAGTCAGGACACTTTAGCGGATAGGACCACTAGGTACGATGGTTTTCCTGCAAAGTTCTCTACAGAGGGTGACTGGTCGGGCAATGGCATAGTAGTAGACCCCTCCGGTGATGATCTTGGCATATTTGTGTCATCCGTGAAAAGCAAATTCCGTCACTAAATACTTATTCTTTGCTGCCAGAATCAATGTAAAGGGTAGAAGCCAGGGCCACCGGAGGGTACGGTGGACTTGTCTAATGGGATGCCCGTGCCTTCCATGCGCTTCACATACCGTGATGCGTATCGGTCTCCAGCTCAGCGTACCGAAAGACTGCAAAAACTCAAATAAACGAAATGTCTCTAACGGATGATAGGAATTTTCCTGCTGTGGAAATAAACAAAGCAAATGGTCAGAGCTATCTCCTGTGATGGACAGTGTCCGGAATACCCGTTTTGTCTTTTTCTCAACCAAGGAAAGACTCTCCAGTGCAGCATTATTGAACGGATCTGACAACCCTGACTCTGTAATTAAAACATGTACGGGCTACATAAGTGATCCAGTTGAAGCAAAAGACGTGATACTTCAGTTGTTTAATCATCACAATAACGATAAAAACAGCACATTCGAAGTCTCAGTAAAATATTCCTTCGTATCCACAATTGGCATCATTTATATACCAGGTACTATCCCTTCCCTCTTGTTCAAGTACTGAGACACCATTTCCCATATACGCGAATCGGTTTCTCGAAAGAGACTTCCACTCCCAGTCCTCATACCGTGGGTTAAGAAGACAGTGAATATTCTGGATACGGCTGCCTGGATGGGTCAGAACTTTGCCATTTTCTTTGCCACCCTTCAGCCACGACCGGCATTTTGTGCCCCAGATAGTCCTTTGATGGAACGTGTCGTTGTGCTGGACAAAGTCATTTACAGCGTCAGGCGAAGGGACAACAGCCTTGTAGCGTTCCGTCTGAAATCTCCACACCATGCGTAGCATGTACTTCGTGACTGCCTCAATTGTTGGAATTGCAGAACCATGCGATAAGGGGGAATTCGGCCCCAGAAAGACTGTTTGCGGTATCAGATTATGTAGAGACAATTTAGGCGAGCCTTGCCTTACCAAAGTAGTTAGGCATATCCTGAACAGCCAACCCGAAATATGCCGTCGGTCGATCTTTCCAGAGATCACTGAGCTTCGTCCCATTGCGTCCTGTCACAGGAAAGCGGGGGATCCATGAGTACTCGAACCCCGTTGCGCACACTATTACATCCAATTCAATGGTTTCTCCAGTCTCAAGTTTTATTCCCTCAGGGATGATCGAGTCTATTCGGTCGGTGATCAATCGAGCATTGGGCTTAGTCAACGTTTCAAGATATCCCAAACCAGGCGTGGGCCGTCTAGTGAGAGTTCAGTGCAAGTCATTTCTCAGCGTCCGCGGGAACTAGTTACCTGCAACCCACACCAAATTCGGGTATCAATGCTTTGCTCAGAGCTTCATCTTTCAAAATTCCCTTCATATGCTCGGCCAAATGTTCCTTGGCAAGCTGTTGTAGCTCTGAATCCCTAAGGTTCTTTTGCTGTGAATTAGATACTAGAAGACAGAAAATGTGACTGGACGCTCACAAGCATGAAACTCCCGCTCATGGTCTTTTCGAGAGCTTTTCGGTACGCTAGGAACTTTTCCGGGTTCTCTGCAAGTTCTCTCTTCTGTTCTTCGCTATCTGCGATGGATTAGCTACTAAATCCACAATAAGATGCCGAGCAATTTACATTGAAAGTTGCCGCCGTCCGGTCCCGCGAAATCGGCAGCGAAATTCGGAGTCACCCACGTTGGGCTTCGTGAAAATGAAACCAGAGAATGAACATCTGTCTTGTATCAATGCTGATGATCTTCATACGACTACACGGCATGGATTTACCTGGATAGATGGCTGCAAGAACTTGCATCCCAGAAGAGCCGTTTCCGATGACCCCAACTTTCTTGTCCCGAAGATCAATGCCCGCTGTCCAATTTGCCGTATGCACAAGGTCGCCTTGGAATGTGTGCAACCCTTCGATCGTGGGCCATTTCCAATGACTGTAAGATATTTCAGAGAAAAGAAGGGGGAGATATTTCCCGGAACAAGCACTTACTTTAGATAACCTCCACCGTTGAACAGAAAATGGCAGGAGTCCGACAGAACCTCGCCTGAGATCTCGTCTTCGATCCTCAGGTTCCACATACCAGTCTCTTCATCCCAGTGAGCATCCAGTACGCGATGCTGGAACCGAACGTATTGTCGGAGGTCATATTTGTATGACGTGTCTAACAAATATTTATGGATCTCAGGGGCCGTGGCATAACTGCCGCTTATCAGTACAAGGTACCAATTCATATATCGAAACAACAGCCTTACAAGTGACTCCAGTCCGGATTCTGTGCCCATGAAAATTGGTAGTTGTGAGCGGGAATATCACACGCACAACCTGGGTACCTGCTGAAATGTTAACACGATACAAGCTGGTGTCATCGAAAGAGTAAAACCATACCTGTTTTCGTACCATGTGCCACCGACCTCGTTGTTCTTTTCAAAGATGACAAGGTCAACGTCACGTAGATGCGCTCGAGCTTGGAAGGCGAGATTGAGTCCAGAAGCGCCTGCGCCGATGCAAATAATTTTCAATTGGCGAGACGAGCCCATTTCAACATTTGGAATCAAGTAGTCACCATCGGAGGCAAAGCAGTCGCCCTCCACAGGGAGAGGATTTTCGATGCTGCCCATTTTTTACGGTAATTTGTGTTGATCGAGTACAGTAAGCACCTTTGGATTGCGAATCTACTGAAATTTTTTCTGAGCAGTCGACTATTCTTATAGAAGTCCGGTTTGGAAATTCGCGTGATTCGGCTCCTTGTGTTCATGGGTCGTATGTCCGGTCCGAAGCGGTGCTGGGACCCACCTGAACTCACACTATGAACACCGCTTATGCCACGGGAACGCTGCGGAGATTCCGAACAAACTCGAGGAAAGAAGTGCACCGAAAGCCCGAGGTGAGGATGGCAAGAAGTCAAGGAGAAGTTGTCCACTCACTATTACAGTAGCTTGGTTAGGGTCATTTGCTTCCTATTTCCCTCGTGGGTTTCTATATTTGTAGTTGTTGGCGAGCGCCGATAAGCTACTGGTGAGGTCCCTCGATCACGCAGTTACACCCCTTAGGGATAGCTCCACGCAGGGAAAAGGAGAAGGTCTTCTCGCAAAATAGAAAGCCTGTCCATCGAGTCAGACGAAAAGCACCAGGTCAGATTGCTCCAGAAAGCTTTTTTTACTTGAGGTCCTCCAAGCATACTTGGATCAATCAGTCAAATGTCATAGACCTGATTTGGCTGCCTTGATTTACAGTTTTGCGGGGCCAGTAGGCACATCAAGGCACACTGGGCCTAAACGTGCCGCCAGCTGTCCGCAGGTGACCTGGACTTGAAATAAGGTTCCAAGGTTCTGACGTCCAGCTTATGAAGGAAAGCGATGCAAAAGTAGCGAAGAAAGCCAAGCAGAGCAACGCAAAAAGACCAAACGAAGGGAAAAGGGAGTGCCGCACGGGACCTCTACCTTTCACAGTCGACCGCATGCGCATCCACGAATAACAACAATGGAGAAAGGTGTTTGAGGTTAAACCATCTTGGCCCGACATTGAGAAACCTAAGTAGTGTGAAAATATCGCCCCCGATGGCTAGTTAGGTGGATCTACTCTATACACTCCATATTTACTAGCTGGAAGGGTCTCATGGCGGCCTGGTTCTAAAATAGCAAAACTCTTTTACTAAACACAAAAACGGCTGGAGCACTAAACAACTAGACAGAGAATGACAAGCGAAAGACCGTACAAAATATCTCAAGAGAGGAAGGGGAAGAGGAAGAGAAAGACAGGGTCCAAACGAAATGCTGGAACGCGTCCATCCACCAAGGCGTATTCTCAACTAGTCAACATAGGCTTATGCTCAATCACAAAGGCCTCGATTGACTCGAGGTAAACTTTACAGTCGGCGTCGGAGACATAAAGATGAAGAGGGGTGTATCCGCGAACCGCGATGTTGATATTCCGCTCGAGCATGTGATGGTAGAACAGGGCCTGCCATTGTGATGCATCTGGACCCGAAAATCGGACGTTGATCATACTCCCACGCCCGGTCACAAACATCGACGGGAGCTGGAGCAGTTTGTCAGGATGATCCTCAATATATGCCTTTGTTCCCGTTTGTAGGCTATCGATCTCCACAAGACCGACACGGGGACTCGGGTAGCTGTCTGGGTAGAGACCGTGGTGCATCAGAATCGCTTGAATATCTTCCTTCAATTCTTCTCCCAGATTGTTCAATCGGTGCACTTCCGAGGCGTTGTAAATATCAAGTCCGGTGATGCCAGCTGCCATGGAGAAAACATTGTTGTTGTAGGTGCCTGGGTGAAACAGCTTGGATTTTGTGGGGTCGAACAGTTCCATGATGTCCTTTCTTCCTCCAAATGCACCAATTGTCATCCCGCCTCCAAGGTATTTTCCGAGCGTCATGAGATCGGCGCGAATATTCATTTCAGCGGAACAGCCTGAATACCCGAGACGAGAAGACATAACCTCATCCATGATCAACAATGCCTTGCGCTCGTGGGCTTCTGTCCGAAGGAAATGAAGGAATCGTCTGCCCGCAGGTCGGCAGCCCCCAGAACCTTGAATGGGCTCCACCAGGATAGCTGCTAGGCTATCTGGGGGTAAGTGGTCTGGTATCTCTCGAGTTTCGCGGATATTGTTGTATGGTGCGTACACGAAGTCGTGAGGAAGGTTCATCGGGGCTACCATCTCACCTTTCATCACAGAGAGGGGGAACACCAGAGTCCCACCGTGGTAACCCGAACTGAATACGAGAATCTTTTTCCTCCCAGTGATATTCAGCGCAGTGGCAATGGCCATTGTATTTGCCTCGGTGCCGGAATTAGTGAAACGGACAAGCTCGAGGCCACTCGGACCAAATCTTTCGCAAGCTTTCTTTGCCAATTCCTTCTCATAGGTGCAAGTCCCTCCGTAATTCCACCCCCCAGTCATTGCTTCATTGATAGAATTTGCGATACGGGGATCTGAGTGGCCAAAGATACCAGCGCTGAATTCGCCCAGGAGGTCGAGATATCTATGCCCATCGACCGAAATCAACGTGCTCCCTTCCCCTTTCGCAAAAGTAAGCGGAAAAGGATCGGCATGAATAACCGTCCTAGTATTTCCTCCGGGAAGATATGCGAAGGAATCCTGATAGGCAGTTTGAGATTTGGGATTGCGCTCGAGGTAGGTACGATGCGAATTGGTTAGCTGGGCAGCCAGATAGCCAGGGACAGTCATCACGCAAGGGCTGGGTGAAAATGATGGGGAAAAGGGCATATATCTTGGCCTCGAGACGGCTGATTTGGTCGCTTATATTATTCTTTCTTTCATATCATTATGTCGTTTTTTTAGAATCCAGACTTCCTGGTCGGACCTCGGACTCTCGGCCTCAATCTCTATCCAAGGTACTTCGGAGTTTCCGCCAACCAGGTCCTGGTTGATAGGTCTTTAGAATCTACCCTTGGTCGGGTCTATATCGGCAAGACTCAAGTGTGACGATATGTCTGAGTGTAGAGGCTTTTCATATTTCCTAATAGCCAGATATTAACACACAGATGTACGTCTCTTGACGATTTCGGTGGAGCTTCCCCATTTGTCTACATAGTAAACATTGTCAGATTTATCCACAGCTCAGACTGTCACATTATCAGCGCATGATAATACACATAAAGTTAGCAATTTTAAGTTGCCTCAATTGCGTCGACAAAAGTGCGCCATCCCTGGCGGATGCTAGGTAGTTCATGAAGGTAAGCCGCCGGCTCGAAATAATAAAAGTTGCCACTACTACTACAGCCACAGGGCCCGCCTACAATTCGTGAAATTCTGAAGAAGACTGATTTACGAGCCGCCTAAAGAAAATTTAAATTCACAAAAGATATGCATGCACTGGGTTTACCTTAGTGTTAAACGGCCCCCGGGCTGAGCGAGAATTGCGAACGGGGCACGTAAAATAGCAGTTTACACAGAAATGATGCCTGGTAGGACCTACAAAAGAATGACCAGGGTTATACTGAGCTTGTTTTACCGTTTTGAAGAAGTATTTGACTTGCAAAACAAACGAATGAATATATAGCGTTTAGCTGTATCGTCGACGTCAAAAGCGACAGAGCAACCTGTTCATAGTGTAGTGCGTGCGCCGCTCTTTATTTTGCAGTATGTCTTCGTGGGCCATTATCCTGGCTGCTTCTATTCGGAAATTCGGAAAGTCGCAATATCCGCAGCGTTTGGTTGCGGAATTTCCGTTTATGGCCGTCTGTGGCTTGCGTGTCAGTTAGCCTTGCCTTTCTTCCATAAAGGATCCTTGATCGAAGCGATTTATCTGCTGGTGAGAATACTCATCCATGGCGACCAAAAGGTTCTCACTACAAGAGCTTGCTGAGCATTCCCGGGAGGACAGTGCCTTCATAGCCATTAACGGTGTTGTATGGGACTGCACTTGCTTTGCTGAAAAGCATCCCGGTGGAGCAGAGGTCATCGAGAGCGCCTGGGGTAAAAATGCTAGTCAGCCATATAACGAAGTCCACAGTCCCGGACTCGTGGAGAGCTTTTTCGGCGAGGAAAAGTTCATGGGAATCCTCGAAAATGACGGATTCAACGAAAATGGTCCGCAACGGGCGAAAAGATGCCTACAGCCAATCCAGAACATTGTCAACCTTCTCGATATGGAAAAAGCTGCAGGGGAAATTTTGACAGAGCGTGCCAAGGTGTATATCGAGGACGCATCGAATGACGGAGTCACCGCACGATTAAATATACAATGTTTCCAGAAAGTCCTCTTCCGGCCGCGTGTGCTGCGACCGGTGGGCTCTATCTCTACAGAAGTTGAGATACTGGGCAAGACATACGGATTGCCAATCCTGAACGCTCCCGTTTCGTTGTCTATGATAGCCCATCCCGATGCCGAAATAGCACTTGCCAAGGGCCTCG